CACTCTTCCACTTTAGAAAAGGACACAGAGCTGAATGGGAGAGTCCCCCCGCAAGATCCATGGCCTTGGATTGGGAGGTGCTGAACCTCATCTTGGCCGCTTCACATTCGGTTGCAAGCCGCCCCAGTGCACGCCGAAGGTCTTGGTTTGATGAGGCCATCATCATCAGACTTGAAATTCATGCAATTAAAAAAAAGAAAATCTATTCAAAATTGCAACTTCACAAAAAATAGTTTAATTTGATTACAACAGAGATACCTCCATGAATGTGCGAAAAAAAAGAGAAATAACATTCTCTGGGAACCAGCTTGGGGACAGAGCTCCAGGGCTTTTAATCTCCCTCTCTTGCATAAATTTTCTCCTTTCCTGTGAAATCTCTTTTAAAAACCTCGGGAAAGTCGGGAACTCTGAGTGTTCGGTTTCACAACAGCTGCTATCAATTAGTAAATCAATTTAGTTCTTCAGAACTAGTGGACCTAGTGTGTATGACGGAGTGTGTATGACGTCATCCGTGTGTGCTGGCTACCATCCATTCATTCTGTCCACTGAACTCACATGCCTGGAAGATGTCTGGTGCCACTACCACAGATTATCTCGCTCTCAAAATGGAATTGAATGATTCAGATTAGCTAGCCAAATGAATATAAGGGGTAGAGTGTAGCCGCCTGCGGCCCGGGCTGCCTGTCACAACTCCAGTCCGGTGTTCGCAGATATCATCATACACACTCCACTTTGTTTAAAAAATATATAAATATAGCAAAATATAACCACAGATGTTTGGGGGACAGTGATTCGCCTACATGTTATGAATGCTGACGTACCATAAAGAATAAATTATGAACAGTTTAGTTTGTGCCTTCAACTCATTGCCCATAGGAAGATTCAGATCCAAACCCCTTCATGTTTGACAGATTGGGTGTTTTCTCAGTGAAAATATAGTAAGATGTCTGCTCTAGATGCTTACTGTAACACCTGTTATGAATCTGAGCTGCTGTTTGTACTGCATGTCCACAATTGCTTTGGGAGGTTACTATCCAACAGCATGCATCATGCCATCTCAAATAATGTTCTCTATCCCCTTTCAGTGGTTCCATTCTGATGGGGTGAGTAGGGTGTACTTGTCTCGTGCTATATCCAATTACTTCTAAGTAAGGACTGGTAATCCTGCCTGGTAAACTCTGTACCGTTGTCAAACCTTATACACTTAATCTTTCCATAGGGAGCTACATCTGCTATGAATTTTTCTGTAGCTTGCACATGATAGCTTTTTTGCCTTCAGAAAATAGGGAAAAATCATCCAACTGTAATAAGCAGTAAATGCTATTGCATACTTGAACCCATTTTTATCTGTTGGTTCTATAGGGCCGCAAAAGTCTGTGTGCACTAGCACAAGTATGGATGTAGCCTTTGTATCTGCCTGTCTGTTTCTGCTTTGTGTGAATATTTCACAATTTTGGTTTGACTTATCATTTTTACCCTTAATAGACATCCCTTTAACCACATTCTCTAACTTTGCAATGTCATCAAAGTTACAATGGCCTAGTATTTCGTGCCACATTTTCATATAACTACAACCATACACTTCATCAATGTTTTCACTTTCAACTGTGCTAAGATAATACAACTTACCATACACATCCATTTTGAATTTTGTACCGTTCCGTCATCACCGTCTTTGAACAAGTCCTCTGCATCATTGCCTGATGCTGCTGTGACAGAAAAGATGCTCTGTGGGTACAATGGGATGTAGAGTGCCTGCTTGAGTCTCGTTCTTGCTTGTCGTCCCTTGCTGTCCCTGTCGATCAAGTGGTACTCGGGTCTGAAGCTCTTGTCCACCATTTTAAACCTGATGGCATCATTGATCATATGCGATGTTGGCCCACAGTCAACCATGAGCTCTTTCTTGTTTTCTCCATGCACCTGACAGCCACTCATCTTAAAAAAAAATGACGGCTGTGTATCTGTCTATCTGCTTTCTTGATTTGATCAAGACCTCGGCCGTGTCAACAACCGTGCCCTTTTCCTCGCTGAGGTGTGTCCCATGCTTGATCATCTCTCCTCTGTTGCACGTTGCTGGGGCATGCCCGGGCCATGTGTCCTCTTTTCCTGCATGCATAGCACTATGTCGGCCAAGTCCACATTCTTTCCTGGGCCTCTCCCAAGCGCTTTCATTACCCTGCTTGTTCTCATCATGTTGTCCTCTGTCACGTCTCCTCTTCTATATTTCTCTGTACTCTCATAGCTGCGCAGTTTACTTTTAAAAGTCACAACTTCATTTGACTGTGTTACGTGCCCAATGAACGTTTTGATGAACTCGGGTAGCCATTTCACTACCATTGCAATCATAAGTCCATCACTAATTTGCTTAATTTTGTTGCCTAAAACTTGCACAAGTTACGCATACGCATCACCATTCTTTGCGTCATCTTCAGTGAGAGCTACTCCATCCTGATCGTCAATTTCTTGCATCTTTGTGATGGTCACCCTGAGACTACGAAGCTCTGTGTGCACAAGGTACCTTGCTTCCCAAATTTAAACTTTTCTCTTCGCCGTTGAATAAAAGTCAGTTCCACCTGTGCCACAAGTGACTGGGCCCATAACCTGTGGGGATATTCACCATCCCAGCGCAGCAGCACTTCCTTTTACTTTGGGTATACATTGAAAAACTTTATCGACTACCCTAGCATAAGAGAAACACTGGACGACATCTTTAACTCTGCTGAGTCAACCGTTTATTCAATAATACATAGAAACATGGGGGTGGTGTGCGTGGGCACCTGCATGGGCACTGACGTCATTACTTCACACAGCGGTTGGATGCTGATAAATATGGCTTTCACCAAATAACAAAAATATGCTTAAAAGAGTTTATGTATCCTAACAGTGTTTAGAACAAAGGTAACTTAAAACTGCCTGTTTGTCTATCAACATGTCTGTCATATAGCACATATACAAGCAGGTAAACATTGTTTACACACAATAATAAGCAAACCACTTGTTTTTACTTTCAAAACACAAGGTAGCTAATATAACCTCTGAAATTGCATGTTGATATAAATCTTACAGAAACTATAGATTAAAAATAGATGCTTTGTGGTAAATCATCACGTAGTAAAAAGCATTACAGCATCGCCAGTGCAATGCTCTGAATATGGACTCTCCATGAAGCATTTCTGTGTGCGTTCCTACTAGTTTTACTGGTGGCTGCAGGTGCCTTCAGCAACCTCAGTCATCATTCGGGAGTTTCATTTCCTCACCCTGCCTCTAGTTCCTTTTAATATGAAGATAACAGATAATTTCCTTTAGGCTCTGAGGTAATGATAGTTTTATGAGGCATAAGTGGCATTACCAGAGGGCAGAATTACAATTACAATTCAATTCAGTTTATTTATATAGCACTAATTCACAACACATGTCATCTCAAGGCAATTTACAGTTCACCAGATCATACAGTCAAATTGATTCAAAGTTTTCTATCTAAGAAAAACCAGTTGATTGCATCGACTCATTGACTCAAATGCAATCCCTCACACTAAGCATGCTTGTAGCGACAGTGGAGAGGAAAAAACTCCCTTTTAACAGGAAGAAACCTCCAGCAGAACCAGGCTCAGTGTGAGCGGCCATCTGCCGAGGCCGACTGGGGTTCAAGGAGACAGAAGCAGAGATACAAAAGCAGCTATAAGGCGGCCCCGTCCAGGAAACACACAGTCAGGCAGACGAGCTCCGAGCCAGCTCCCATGTCAGAGGATGAAGAGAGCACATCTGTTGTTTAATTTGATGTTATGGTCAACAGAGTTGATGTGTTTTGTGAGAGCTTCCAGCTAAAGGAAGTGGAAGCTTTCAAAAGACACATCAACTCTGTTGACCATAACATCAAATTTACCAGAGAGGATGCCAAGGACAACAAACTACCCTTCCTGGACTGTTTGGTGAACATGGAAGGAGATGGAAGCCTAAACATTGAAGTGTATAGGAAACCTACTCACACAGACCAGTATCTTCTTTTTGACTCACACCACCAACTGGAACACAAACTCTCAGTGATCAGAACCTTACAACACCGGGCAGAACATGTCCCTACTAAAACAGAAGGGAAGCACAAAGAACAGAAACACATCAAAGATGCTCTCCAAAACTGTGGATACCCAAGCTGGGCGTTTATTAAATAAGCAAGGAAATCCAAAAGAGACTCAGCAAAAGATGGCGGTGAGAAAATTAAACGCAAAAACATCAGAATCCCAGAAGTGGTTCTGGACGGTTAAAGTTACTTAGATACAGAGATATCACAGAAAAAAAAACTTCAGATGGAGATAGTCTGAACATTACCAACATTAGCAGTAGCACCCTCTAGTGTTTTAGTGTTGCGCTAAAATATATTCAATAGCAGCTTTGAAGGTTTCTCACATAGGCATCCTCTATTAATTTAGAAATAATAATTTTCTTTATGCACTCCAGCTGTCTACAGACAAGAGGCAGGGTACACCCTGGACAGGTTACCAGTCCATGGCAGGGCAACAGAGAGACAAACAACCATTCATACTCACACCTAAGGAGAATTTAGAGAGGCCAATTACATAACAGTCAAACATGACTGTTAAGTAACTGTGGGAGCAAGCCGGAGTACCTGGAGAGAACCCACACAAACTCTATGCAAAAAGACCCTGGATCAGGAATCGAACCCACAACCTTCTTCCTGTAAGTTAGCATTGCTACCCACTGCCCCACTGAGCAGCCACAAGACAGTCTAAGAGCCCAAAATGAAACAACCACAAAACATAAAATAAATAATGCATTCCCTTTTTATTTACCTTTAAATATAGTTGACTTAAAATGGTAATGAAAATAAAAATTTTAATTCAATCACAAATGACCAAATCATATTCAGATTAAAATCAATAAGATAATCCATATTGTATTTTTTAGGACCCTTCTTTGTGTTTATCCCAAACATTTTTTTGCTCGAATATTTTGTAAATAAAAGCCCTTTATGAAGGTCTACAATGAAAATGGAGATACAATACCATGCAAGTGAGTGTGTGGGGGTTAAACAAGAGATATTTGGCTTAGTTGGTTTCAAGTTTTTTTTTTTCTTTTCTATGGTTGTTTAAAGAAACAATAGATGAAAGCTGACATTAAAGTTAGACTAAAATGAAAGTTAATATATGTTGTATTTTTTAGGACCCCTTTACCAAATTGGAGGAACAACAAACTCTCGAGAAGATGATGGAAGCTCTCCACAGATTCCACTCCACGTACCCTTCAACTATTTTGGCAAATCTTACTCTCAGATTTATGTAAGTTAACCTTCTTGCCTAGACTTTCAGCTACTTTTCTTTTTAATTGTTAAGACAATGTTCAAACTATAATCAAAAAAGTTCATTAAGAGCAGTACAGTATTTGGGTGTTTTGCTTGCAGGTCAATCACAATGGACATCTGACCTTTGAAGCACCATGGAGTAGTTATTCACCAAAGCAGTTTCCAATGTATGGTAGCAGAGACATCATTGCTCCTTACTGGACCGATTTAGACAATAGTAGAAGTGGTAACATCTACTATGTTGAGTACACCAACGGCTCTATTATCCAACAAGTTACCCAGGACATCAACTCTTACTTCCCACAAGTTAACTTTCATGCCACTTGGATCTTTATTGCGACTTGGCATAAAGTTCCCTATTATTCAAGGCCTGAAACAGTAAGGAAACTGATTTGATGTCATTTGTGAAATGGAAGTATATAAACTATGTTTAATCTGCATATTATTTTAAAAATTGCTCTTTTTCCCTAGCATTCAACCTTTCAGGCAGTCTTGGCTTCCAATGGGAATTATTCATTTGTGCTTCTCAATTATGGACCCCTAGCACCGAGGAAGACCTCTATAGAGGTTAGAGCACTTATATATGTATATATAAATATACTGTATGCATATACCACTTTGTAGATGTCCTGTTTTTGGACCATCCAATGTATATTTTCTGACAATGACTGAAATCTATTTTTATGAATCTGTTATTTTCAGGCTGGATATGACACAGCTTATTCCTCTCACCACTTCACCATCTGTAGATCATTTTCTAATAACACAATCTTCAACAGCTCCCTTTTAAGCCATGGTAGTAACATCAATGTACCTGGTCGGTGGGCTTTTCGTGTAGATAATGGTTCAAGGGGCTTTACTTTTAATGGTAAGAGGGAAACATCACTACCGGTAAATATATCTCTTTATCATTATTTGAACATGCAGTAGGGGAATAAGTGACAACTCCTGTCTGTGTCACATGGTAGAACAGAAGGGCTATTACAGTAGGTGTACTAAATACTAAACATCCCTTCAGTTTTGATAGTCCTGTCTGACCCCTTTATTGGGGACAGCCAAAGTAAAGAAATTAGTGGAGTATCTGACTGTAGCCTTAAAAGAAAATTACGCCATCATTTCAAAATTGTACGAAAGAAACTTTATATTTCACAAAACAGATAATTTCCTCAAAGAATTGCACAGTATCATGGCCTTAGTATAAGTCATTGTAAAATAAAACAGATATTAAGCTGATCACAACTGAGGACAGTGGGGGAACACCCAGTCAGTTGACCCGGGCCCAACTTGTGTGTGTGTGTGTGGCAAAGTTTTTTTTTTTGTTACTTATTTTTTATTTTTATTCTTTTTTAAAGAAAGAGGGCTTTATTCGTAACCCTCTGCTTCATATCGGTCACTGAAGTTGACGGGTAATAAAAAGTTAGCCGTCAACTTCAGCTGTCAACCTAAAGTTCATAACTTTTCTCTTCACCAAAGTAATGATATGGAATATGGTAATGATAGTTTTATGAGGCGTAAGTGGCAATACCAGAGGGCAGAATTACAGGTATAGTGTTGCACTAAATTATATTCAATAGCAGCTTTGAAGGTTTCTCACACATGCATCTTCTATTAATTTAGAAATGATTCTTTTTCTTTATGTATTGGTCTTTGATCTTCTGAAATTTTTTTTTACAAACTTTGTTTTTTATCTTGATCAAATGGTTTTTCTGACTTTTTGGCACGGATCATTAATTTAACTATACACCTTTAAATGTATTGAGATTTGTTATTCTAATTTTATATTTAATGAGATTTTTGGCTTTTTATTAAAGGAATGACAACTCAAAACCCAGGTACGTTAAAGGTCTGGATCTATTTAACAAAAGCACAATCCAAACAAGGTGTAATGTATTGACTTTATGTATGTTAATTTGATGAACGTCATCTGTGTTTTTGTAGGTGGAATGACAACTCAAAACCCAGGTAGTCAGAATGTCTGTCAGTCTGTCTGCTTAGTATTCTTACTATTTATTATTAACAATAATAATAATTGCAAATAGGCATGTATAAAAGAATAACAATATTTTATTGGGCATTCCAATAAAAGCAGTTGTCTAAACTGTAACAGATACTTTAAAATGTCTAATGTATTTTCATTTTTGTTATCTTAATTTATGTTTACTGGTGTTTTTGTGCTTCTATAGGAGAAATGACAACTCAAAGCCCAGGTAAGTCGAGAGTTTGGCTCCGGCTCCTTCCCTGCAAAATGTTTAAAGTATTACCTTCACGTATCTCAAATGTATTCAGAACTAAGGTAAGTAAAATATGCCTGTCTGTCTGTCTGTCTGTGACATAGCACATCTACCAGCACGTAAACATTTTTTGCATACAATAATATGAAATCGACTTGTTTCAACTTTAAACCACGAGGTAATTGATAAAACCTCTAAAGTCACCTCTAGATACAACTCTTTTAGAAACTATAGATTGAAAATGGGTGCTTTGTTGTAAATCATCCCATTGTAAAAAAGCGTTACGCATCACCAGTCCAGTAGTAGAGATATGGCATCTCTGGGAAGCATTTCTGCATCCTCTCCTACCGGCTTGTAGTAACTTTTTAAAGTTGAAGTAATTGGAATGGCTCACTGCAACCACTGATTTTGTTCAGTGGATCAGATTTTTAAAATAAGGGTCTTTTACACTTCCAGCGTCTAGCAGGCTTAGGTTATTTGAGCTCTTAAATACAAGATGGTATCCATCCATTTTCTGACACACTTTATTTCAAATGGGATCGCGAGAGGTGCTGGTGCCTATCTCCATCTGTCTACAGACAAGAGGCAGGGTACATCCTGGACAGGTTGCCAGTCCATTGCAGGGCAACAGAGAGACAAACAACCAGTCATACTTACACCTATGGAGTATTCAGAGAGGCCAATTACATAACCGTCATGTTTGACTGTTATGTAACTGTGGGAGGAAGCCGGAGTACCTGGAAAGAACCCACGCAAACTCTATGCAAAAAGACCCTGGGCCAGGAATTGAACCCGCAACCTTCAGTGCTACCCACTACCCCACTGAGCAGCCACAAGATGGTGTAAGAGCCCAAAATGAAACAAACACAAAAAATAAAATAAATAATGCATTCCCTCTTTATTTACCTTTAAATATAGTTGACTTAAAATGTTAAAGAAAAATAAAAATGGAAAATGTTCTCCATGTTTCTAGACTATTTTATGAACAAAATTCAAACTGAATCACAAATGAATGACCAAATCATATTCAGATTAAAATCAATAAGATAATCCATATTGTATCTTTTAGGACCCTTCTTTCGTGTTTATCCCAAACTTGTTTTTGCTCGAATATTTTGTAAATAAAAGCCCTTTAAGAAGGTCTACAATGAAAATGGAGATACAATACCATGCAAGTGAGTGTGTGGGGGTTAAACAGGAGATATTTGGCTTGGTTGGGTTCAAGTTTTTTTTCTTTTCTATGGTTGGTTTGAAGAAACAATAGAACAAAGCTGACTTTAAAGTTAGACTAAAAAAAAAGATATCTATGTTGTATTTTTTTTAGGACCCCTTTACCACATTGGAGGAACAAGCTCTCGAGAACTTGATGGAAGCTCTCCACGGATTCCACTCCACGTACCCTTCAACTATTTTGGCAAATCTTACTCTCAGATTTATGTAGGTTTACCTTCTTTCTTAGACTTTCAGCTACTTTTCTTTTTAATTGTGAAGACAATGTTCAAACTATAATCAAAGAAGTTCTTTAAGAGCAGTACAGTATTTGGGTGTTTTGCTTGCAGGTGAATCACAATGGACATCTGACCTTTGAAGCACCATGGAGTAGTTATTTACCAAAACCGTTTCCAATGTATGGAGGCAGAGACATCATTGCTCCTTACTGGACCGATTTAGACAATAGGCAAAGTGGTAACATCTACTATGTTCAGTACACCAATGGCTCTATTCTCCAACAAGTTACCCAGGACATCAACTCTTACTTCCCACAAGTTAACTTTCATGCCACTTGGATCTTTATTGCAACATGGCATAAAGTTCCCTATTATTCAAGGCCTGAAACAGTAAGGGAACTGATTTGATGTCATTTGTGAAATGGAAGTATATAAACTCTATTTAATCTGCATATTATTTTAAAAATTGCCCTTTTTCCCTAGCATTCAACCTTTCAGGCAGTCTTGTCTTCCAATGGGAATAATTCATTTGTGCTTCTCAATTATGGGCCCCTAGCACCGTGGGAGACCTCTATAGAGGTTAGAGCACTTATATATGTATATATAAATATCTGCATAGACCATTTTGTAGGTGTCCTGTTTTTGGACTATCCAATGTATATTTTCTGACAATGACTGAAATTTATTTTTATGAATCTGTTATTTTCAGGCTGGATATGACACAGCTTATTCCTCTCACCACTTCACCATCCATGGATCGTTTTCTAATAACACAATCTTCAACAGCTCCCTTTTAAGCCATGGTAGTAACGTCAATGTACCTGGTCGGTGGGCTTTTCGTGTAGATAATGGTACAAGGGACTGCACTTTTAATGGTAAGAGGGAAATATTACTAAATATATCTCTTTATCATTATTTGAACATGCATTAGGGGAATAAGCAACAACTCCTGTATGTGTCACATGGTAGAACAGAAGGGCTATTACAGTAGGTGCACTGAATACTGAACATCACAAAACAGATAATTGCCCAGTCCGTTGACCTGGGCCCAACTTGTGCATGTGCTTGTGTGTATGGCAAAGATTTTTCTTTTTTACTTTTTGTTTTTATTCTTTTTTAAAGAAAGAGGCTTTCATTCTTAACTCTCTGCTACATAGCAGTTACTGAAGTTGATGGCTAATAAAAAGGAAATGCATTGATCTTTCTGCTAAAACTGCATATCAGCATCTAGAATGCTCTCTGACCAAATCAGTGGTCAGTATTGTAACTGCGAAAACATGTCTTGTGAGTTCAGGATGCCCAATATACAGCCTCCCCTGTCGACCACAGCTCACAGCAAAGATAGATTTAAGAATTGGATGCATCTCCAAACTCCACAACTGCTGCTAATTTGGTTGCAAGGATGGAAAACAATCCACCGATCAAACAGGTAGCGCTCTGATGCAGGGATGGGAACTTTATTCCATTTTTTCCCCAAATCCTAAAAATATAAATCACACCCAGGAACGCTGCTGATGGAGGATGTGGGATTTTAGGGTTAGAGAGCTCTGCTCTGATGGATGTCAGTTGGTTCCTCATGACTCAATCAACTCCTCCCAACAGAAGCACGTCCACCACAGAAAGATTCCTTTATGCTGTTGCTATACTTTCCTCAATGCAATAAACTTTAAACCACACGGTGAACGGTGGTGAAGCTGCGCGCAGTGAGAGCGTTCACTCCTCCTCCATCACCTTGTGTTGCTATGGGACATTTGCTCCAGGTTAAACATTTAATCATGAACGCTTATTATATCCTTAAGTCCACATAGTCCTTTTTTATATACACTTAGAGCCCGTGTTGCCATATGAGGCATATATAAGACTTTTACATTTTTGCAGCTCCAGACAGATTTATTTATTTATTTATTTTTTTTTGGTCCAATATGGCTCTCTGAGCATCCCTGTGCTAACCCATTAATGTTGCTTTATTGTACAGGCTGCTATTGGTCTTTTCTGAATGATAAATTTATCCAGAAAATATAGACAAATCCTTGACAGAAACTGCAGGGATTTTTTTTGCTACATCAAAGTGTTTACCCAGGGGGCTACCACCACCTCACAGCATTGTCATCAACGTCCTCTTCCTGCCCTGAGCCAAGAGAAGCGAGTGCTTCAGCAGCTGGAGGCAGTAGTAGCCGCTCAACAACAACTCCTGCTTACCTTATCAAAGCTGCACTTTTAAATTGTTAAATTTAAATTTTCTAGAGAGCTGTTCTAAACGAAATTTCTTTTTGTTTACACTTGTGCATACAAAATGACAAAATATATCTGTCTAAGTCTTACATACTGTGACCGCCTGCATAGGGAGCGGACATTCTAGAGGTGAGAACAGTCCAAAGTTCTCAAGCTGCAGTTCCTGAGGCATGTTTCTTAGTTGAGAGCTGCCGAGCTGTTTCTATTTTAAATTGATGGTTGTGCTGCTACCTGACACAGGACAGAGGGAAAAATTTAGGTTTTGTATTTTCCTGTCTCTACCTGCAGCGCTACAGCTATATACTGTATACACTCACCGGCCACTTTATTAGGTACCCCATGCTAGTAACGGGTTGGACCCCCTTTTGCCTTCAGAACTGCCTCAATTCTTCGTGGCATAGATTCAACAAGGTGCTGCAAGCATTCCTCAGGGAGTTTGGTCCATATTGACATGATGGCATCACACAGTTGCCGCAGATTTGTCGGCTGCACATCCATGATGCGAATCTCCCGTTCCACCACATCCCAAAGATGTGGAGGCCATTTGAGTACAGTGAACTCATTGTCATGTTCAAGAAACCAGTCTGAGATGATTCCAGCTTTATGACATGGCGCATTATCCTGCTGAAAGTAGCCATCAGAAGTTGGGTACATTGTGATCATAAAGGGATGGACATGGTCAGCAACAATACTCAGGTAGGCTGTGGCGTTGCAATGATGCTCAATTGGTACCAAAGGGCCCAAAGAGTGCCAATAAAATATTCCCCACACCATGACACCACCACCACCAGCCTGAACCGTTGATACAAGGCAGGATGGATCCATGCTTTTATGTTGTAGACGCCAAATTCTGACCCTACCATCCGAATGTCGCAGCAGAAATCGAGACTCATCAGACCAGGCAACTTTTTTCCAATCTTCTATTGTCCAATTTCGATGAGCTTGTGCAAATTGTACCCTCAGTTTCCTGTTCTTAGCTGAAAGGAGTAGCACCCGGTGTGGTGTTCTGCTGCTGTAGCCCATCTGCCTCAAAGTTCGACGTACTGTGCGTTCAGAGATGCTCTTCTGCCCACCTTGGTTGTAACGGGTGGTTATTTGAGTCACTGTTGCCCTTCTATCAGCTCGAACCAGTCTGGCCATTCTCCTCTGACCTCTGGCATCAACAAGGCATTTCTGTAATGATCTCAGAATGTAGGACCCAGAATTCGAGGCGAGACAGGCAGTGGGAAAGTTCAAAGCGTTTATTTAACAAAACAGGTGCGCGGGGCTGCTCGTCTGCTGCGGGGCGGATTTCTGCAGAAATGGGAGAATACAGATCAGTGACTGGATATGGAGCTTTAACACAACTTGGAGCAAAGTCACTGACCTGATTCAAAGTTCAGTCTGTTTGCGGAGCTTTGACCGCAGTTGCGGCAGGCGACGCCCCCAGAGTTCCTAGAGAGCGCGCAGCAGACGCCGAGCAGCAACAGAGTCCAGAAGGGAAATCCAAGGCCGAAGTCAGACGACAGTTCCAGGTTCAGAAGCCGGTAGAATCCAGGATCAGATAGGACAAACAGAGCAGACGGGGGCAAGGCAAAATCTCGAAATCCTCAGGGCAGAAACTGGTCAATATGAGGGAAACAGGCAGACTACAGATTGCTAGGGAACGTATCACAAAAACACAAGAATAACCTGGCGCTGATGGGAGGCAAACACACAACTTAAATAGTAGAGGAACCAGGTGGAAATGATCGGCAAAAATCAGCCGCAGAACCAATTAGACAGGAAAGCAAGGAGCAAAGGAGAAAACCAAACCATCAGCGCCGAGATCATGACAATTTCCGCCCACAGAACTGCCGCTCACTGGATGTTTTTTCTTTTTCGGACCATTCTCTGTAAACCCTAGAGATGGTTGTGCGTGAAAATCCCAGTAGATCAGCAGTTTCTGAAAAATTCAGACCAGCCCTTCTGGCACCAACAATCATGCCACGTTCAAAGTCACTCAAATCACCTTTCTTCCCCATACTGATGCTCGGTTTGAACTGCAGGAGATTGTCTTGACCATGTCTACATGCCTAAATGCACTGAGCTGCCGCCATGTGATTGGCTGCTTAGAAATTAAGTGTTAACGAGCAGTTGGACAGGTGTACCTAATAAAGTGGCCGGTGAGTGTAGCTTCCTATATCAATTATAAAGAAACAAGTAAAGGATAAGGATATTAGACAGTTAAAATGTTGGTAGTATGTCAAAGAGGAGGAAAAATGAAAATGGATAAATAAAAAAATTAAAAATAGAATTTGTTTTTTGAATAGCTGATTGGCATCTAGATGGAGCGTTTTATAGGACTGAGAACAATCCTGAAAACTATGCTGCGCCAGAGCAGGTTTCCTGGTCAGTGTACATTGCGCTGTTAACCAGCCTTATTAAGAATAAATCCAGCTTCATCGTAGTGGAAAGTCATGATTAAAAGGAGGAAACGGATTAGGGAAAAGAGTGTGGCACTAGGGGGCTACAAGATCAACAAGAATTAAAATGGGACTAAAATTTACTAGAATAAACTAAGAACCAGGAAAAAAAACAAAAAAACTCAATGCTATTTCTGACATATTCAATTGAAAAAGCGTCCAGGATGGGAGGCGAAACGTCTTTAAACTTGGAAACAAAGTCAAGTGGTTTGTTTGTTAACCTTTTTTGAATTACTATGACCTGGATGGCTGAGAATCCTTCCCATCATGTTTGTTAATGTAAAAAGTTTAATGTTAAATTACTGCATTAGGAGACTTAGTATTATGAAAAGAACTGAACTGTTTTCGGAAATTACTATTTCCGTTTTGAACCACAACAAACTGAATATTTCAAAATAAAACCCTCACCTTTCCACAGAAACTATTTAAATATTAAGCTGATATTACTGTAGGGGTATAATGGTTTATAAAAGCTGGAAAGGGGTCCTTATAACTTTTGGATCTTTACTTATTCTTACAATAGAACCATCCCTCACTTTCCAAATTAGAATACAATACTCTTCTAAATATATAAACATCGGCAATAGGTTTCCCTTCGCTTTAGAGCACAATTGCACCAGGTTTTCAAGATAAGATCTTAACATTCCCTATTAATTAAAAGCTTTTAGATATGACTGAGCAGATCATTGCAGATTTTATTTCAAACTAAAACTCACATTATAGCTATTACTAATTTTTATTTTAATATTTATTATTATTTTCAACCTTCATATCTGGATTTTTTTAGCTGCACTAATTTACATATTTATCATGCTAGGAAGTGGTGTTGATTGCAAAAATGAATCATCTGCTTTAATATAAAGCATGACCTAGTGAAATCTAGAAAAATCCTTGAAATATTTGGCATCAATACAAAATATCAACCATCAAACTAAAAGAATATAATGTGAATGCTCTTTTTTAGGCTATCGGTATCGTTTTGTTATCAGTCTGGGTCTATGTTCAAAATCTAAAAACATTTGAAAATATGTCCTTCAAAATTGATAAGCACATCTTTGTTCTGTATTTTAGGTTGTCAAGCACAAATGCCCCGTAAGTTTCCAATTTAATTGTTCATTATTTTAACAAGTAATTTCTTCTTTTGAGATTAACCAGTAGTTTTCCTTGGGTAACCTTAGTACTATAATGTACAAGTGAAAATCTTTAAATTCTGTATAATTTATATTCTTCCACCATTGTAAAAGAAATTTCAATGTAGAAACAAAATATAAATAAAATCTTACCATATACTGTAGCCATTTGAATAATCTAATACAATTTGCACCTTTCTTCTACATCTGCATGACTTTTAGTTTTAAGATTACACACATTTTACACATGTCTAGGCATTTTGGAATGTGCTTACATTGTTAAAAACAAAATGTTGCATGTTGGTTTCATTTTGTGTATTTGAAATTGTTGTAGCTTTGCTGTCCTGACTAGATCATCTAATAATGTAAAACACCAATAAAAAGGAGATTTACATTTTTCATTTCAGAAAAATGTAGGTTATGGTTTAATTATTTTTTACATAATTTAAATCAATCTTGACTCTCATACAGAACTTGGATATGACCAATATTTTCAGTTTTTAATTTTTTTTCCCCTTTTCTTTTTTCCATGTAAGAATGTGGTTATGTAGGTACAAGTGCCATGATCGTTGGAGGTCAGGATGCAACTGCTGGACGTTGGCCTTGGCAAGCAAGCTTACAGAGAGCTGGTGGTTCCTCCTTTTGTGGCGGATCCCTGATCTCTGACCAGTGGGTGCTGACTTCTGCTCACTGTGTAGGAAGGTGAGATTTCCCTTAGTCATTGAGGATCTTTATAATTATTTCAACATTAGCTGCCTTTCTTTTCCATTTCTTTAATGCAGATAAAATATAAAACCCAATCAAAGGTTTGCACGTAAAACTATAACAAATTTAAACCAAAAGTACAAGTTCACTGTACTTTTCAGATCAGAACAATTGTATTTTTTAAATGTAGCAGATAGTACTGTATAAAAAATTAATATCCATCTCTCTCACTTACTCTCTCTCTGTCTCTCTCTATGCATATATATATATATATATATATATATATATATATATATATATATATATATATATATATATATATATATATATATATATATATATATATATATATATATATAGATAGATAGATATATAGATATATACGGTATATATTTACATGTATAGAGAGAGATAGAGAAAGACCGAGAGTGAGTGAGGGAGATGGATGCTTTTTCCTGCTGGTTGTTCACAATATTTAACTGTCTGGAAATCAGTGTAACAACTAGGGAAAAATTATATAGTATTTATAGTTCAGTGGATTTGCTAAGAATACCAAGATATGGCCAGCAATTTGTCTGCAATGCTGTTGAGACATTATAAAACCTAATTTATCACAAGTGCTGCTTGTCGGATTTTATACAGTGCTCAATATTTCCACTGACTATCATTCTCCTTAAAAAAGGAAACCTTAGCACAAAAAGGACTTTGGCTTGTGGCCATACCTCATGTTGCAATCAGTTTATCCAAATTAAGTCCTTTAGCGCTGATCCATTTCCTGTCACAACCAGCAGCTTCAAGGCTATCTCCTGGAGCCTCTACCTTATATCATCTACCTTTTTTCCCTTGGTAACATATTTCCAAAACCGGGTTCACCTCTGAATTCCTAAGGCTAAATTGCAAATATGAAAGATCATCCTGTAGGAAAAAAAAAGTTTTTAATCCAACAATGAAAGTTTCTCTCACGACTGAAAGTTCCACCATCTCTTGCTCCCCTTAGTTCAAGAATCTGTGCATCACCATACATAGTACTCTCTCATTCACCTCCCACATCAAAATAAAATCTATTCTGTATATCTTCATTTTCTAAGTATTTCTCCTCTGATTACCAAAACCCCATCATTCCATCACATTACTCCAGTCTTACAGGGGTAATGTCGGTTCCCTATACCTGTCAGAGCTACTACTTCAGAATGGCACCACCAACGTCTTTCCTTTTCCACCCACCTTAGTGAGACTGCTGTCTGCCTTATCACCATGGGGAGAAGAGTTTTTGCCTGCTCTGCTCTAAAACTCTGTAATTTACGCCCTCCTGATATTTGCAATACTGATAATTGACCTCTGTTAAAGCCTAAATGAAGGCTAAAAAACCTAAAACCTAAAAAACCATCTTATCCAGACAGCATAACTCCACTGATTTCCCCGTGCTGTTTTAGATATTGTGCATAAAATATATTATTCTTATTATTATCTTCATTATTGCCGTTCCCATACTCTGATTTATACCATTCCATTTTGAGAAGAAAATTCAGTACATGGGTTATTGGTCAAATTATTATGGCCAGTTTTAGCGTAAGTGTAGTTTTAAATTAACTCTGAGCTTGCTTACAGAAGCCAAAAGGTTTTGCCATGCCTATATGCAGACATTATTCACACTTTAATGTTCTTAAAACTAAATGATAATTCCTTAAAAAAAAATAAAAAACACTATTAGAGGTCTTTTTAGTCATGACAATTTGCAACTACTGAACTTACAAACACAGCACAACACTTTGTTTTTCTTTTTGTACATTTCAGTGGAATCCACACTGCTGAAGTCCATCTGGGTGTCCACAGTTTATCAACTCCCAACGCCAACGAAGTGATTCGGGGAATTGACCACTTCATCTGCCATCCTGACTATGATTCTTCTACTTTGGAGAATGACATCTGCCTCCTGAAGCTCTCATCTCCTGTCTACTTTACAGACTACATACAACCTATATGTTTAGCCTCAGTGGAGAGCACCTTTCATGATGGTACTACCAGCTGGGTCACTGGCTTTGGGGACCTTGGTAAGTTCCAAAAAAATGTATTTTAGTTAACAGTAATGTTTGTCAAAATAACAGCAAAACATTAACATATTCCTTCACTTAGGTAATGGGATGACACCTGACATTCTGCAGAAGGTAGAACTACCAATTGTGGGAAACAATAAGTGTTCTTGCTACAATCAAGACTTTGCCACCATCACAGAGAACATGATTTGTGCAGGCTTTGATCTGGGACGAAAGGTCTCATGTCAGGTGACTATGATTTTGCGTGTTCACATACCTGTATTTTTTTTTCTGTAGGATATATTATAGTATACTGTGCTTCTAGGGAAAGACAAGTCTAATATGTAAAATATGTATCCATGTCATTTTTCTTTCATTGGGTCATCCATTCTCTTACCATACCAGCTTAATCAGTTAAGGAATGTAAAGAAAGCACAAAGATACACAACAAAAAAAAAAAATTTTTTTAGAAAAGCCACAATACAAAGATTATGATATGGTGTCACATTTATTTCAAAACCCCGTGAGAATAATAAAAATACTCGCATGTATGACAAACTACTTCTGCGCATGGTTTTTCTACGACACAAAATCATACATGTGACTTGAGAGGAGAAAACCACTCTCTGCCTGCGCCAGCTGCTTCCACGCTATATAATTTTTTATACAGCGGCCATGCTCAAGGACGGCTGCACCCTCAAAAGGAAAATGTATTTTGACAGGTTGGGCAGAGACAAACCTCTTCTGTAAGCCTCCTCTTGATTGGGCCTTGCAGACACAGAAGGCTTCCTGGCACTACTTCCTGTGTGATCGTGTGACGCCATAGTATGAATCAAGAACATCACCCGTATAATATCAAACTACCTGGCTTGCCATTCATTACAAAAAAACTGGCACCTTCATAACAGACGTGAATCTGTTGGTGGGGGGTTGGGGGTTACACCAATACCTAAAGTTTCAGGGGCCATGTTTTTGAGACTAGTAGCAGATGGAAAAATATACATTTGTAGCGGGATGTCCTTGTTCTGATGGATTGCAGTCTTCTGCCAAAGGGGAGAAACTGTTTGCGTCCAATGTGCCAGAGGTCAACTACAGTCTTTCCTGCTCTCCTCTGGGTTCTGCAGGAGTACAGTTTGTGAAGAGAAGAAAGATTGCAGTCAATCACCCTCTCAGTGCAATAAATGATAAGCTGTGCTTGTCCTTATTACTAGCATTGGCATACCAGATGGGATGGGGGAAGAGAGAATGGACTCAATCATAGCAGAGAAGAAGTGCAACATAATTGTCTTTCGCGATCTGAACTTATTAAACTGATGCACAAAATACATTATTTGCTTTGCCTTCTTTGAAACTGAGATTATGTTCAGCTGTCACTTGAGTTACTGAGCAATGATGTGCCCAGGAAGCAAAAGGTATCCATGTCTGTGACTGCAAAGTAAAGAGGGAAGATGGAGCTCCTTCAGTCAATGATCCTCATGGTTTTTGGAGCAAACAAAGAAGCTAAAGAATGTTCTGGCAACCTTAGGGTTCTAACTTGTGATCAGTCTTAACCCCTGCTAGACAGATGTAGAGTCATTTGCAGAGAACTGGTCGTTTAGGCCAAAGTTACAAATAAGAAAATCTGCATGAGTCAAATAAGGTATATGCCTGGAAAGTCTCAAGTATAACAACCTGAGGCCGACAAAGCTGTAACAGGCAATGTAAGGATAATGCAACAGCATGCTTGGGCTAACACATAGGTAGAGAATGTAGAAGGAAGGGAAAGGTAGAATGTAAACAATTAATTAGAAAAAAAGGATTTTGTGATGTCTGGTGACCAAAAAGAGCAACAAGTAATATGTGTGAAATCCACAATAAAGTCAAAAACTTCTAACATATGGATTCCAAAACAAGACACTGTCATGCTAAGGACTGTAAGGGCTCCTTTGGCTCACATGTACAAACATGCCAGTGTGTGCTAGTTATAGGGATATCATGTAGAAGACTAATCCATTGATACTAGTTTGAAATATAGGCAGTTTTATTGTCACCTTTTAGTGGTGGGATCCCTAAGGGGCAAAGGAGCTACACTCAAACCCAGCTTTGTCTGGATGGGGCCTTAAGGCTGATTTATACTCAGAAACCATCTGCATGTGTCGCAGTTAACGTAGATATGCCCATGCCCTCTCCGTAGACACTCTGGCGCACTGCTCCGAAATTGTAGGTGACCACAGACAGTGCTGCAGACAAGAGGCCTCTGACTGGTCAAATCTACATCTGCTCTATACTATGTGTATTTTTTGTTTGGTACCTTACTGGCTTGTTTTGTTTATATGACCGCCATTGTGGAAAACAAATCCAAAGATGGACCAGCTTGAAGAGCGAGGTATGTCAGAATGACAGAACCCTTTTCCCACCTGGCTCCCCTCTCTTTTCCACCCTCCGTTGTCGCACAAACTTGCCCTTGTTTTTTTCCACTTCCTCACCACCACAGCGGTATCTAGACCCACAGCTAGTTCGTGATTGTCTCTCTTGTGCTGTGGCATGGCATAACATAGCACAGACCACGCTTTAAAATTGGGCATACATCAAAAATCTAGTATAACCAGACATTTAGTCTCTACAAGCAGAGTCTGTTAACATCTCAAATGTATTTGCTAAACCTGTACTTTACTTGCCTTAATAAGTCCCTGTATCACCTCCTAAATGCCTTCTTCTCTTCAACAGCTGAGTTTAGCTCGGAACAAGGGTTTATCATTTTTATACCTCACCCTGGTGTATGTTGCCATATAGCTGTCCTCACAGAAGTTGGTGTAAATCTGCACAGCATCTGTAGATCCAGATTGCTAGTAGCAGTCCTGAAAACAAAATCAAAATCAATGCAGTCCAAATATGTCTGAAGATACCCCACAACTTCAATGTTCCACTTTTTAATTTGGCCGTTATTTTAGAATGAGGTGGACATCACATGATCAGACTGAATTAGAGCACCACAAGAATGACATGATAGGCACAGGTCATGTGGGTGTGACAGTATTCCAAACTTTTCGCTCTGTGGTTGGACACTTTATAAATTGTCTGCATTTGGGGGAGTTCTCCTGTTTAAGTTACCAAGACCATTAACAAGGAAGTTCGGGTGTGTCTACTCAAGAGGCATTATCCGGTCCTTGAGCATGTGCTGTCCCCCGTACACATTAGTCACAGTGAAATGAAATGTGAGACAATAAAAGTCCCCTGGGAAAACCCCTGGTTTTCCAGTAAAGGTTTCTTGGTCGATAAAAGAAAAAAAAAAAGACTGACAGATCGGCAATTTGAGTTTATGCCCAGGCATAAACTCCAGAATGAAGTTGTGGTGATTCAGTCAGTCCACCTGCCTCAGCAGTCTCATGGGTAAGGGAAGAGACCCATGAGTCAGAAGCAGGGGTGTCACACCTTGTCTGTGGGGATGGTGAAGGCCCACCCATGGAAATGGAAATGCCAATACTCACATGCCCATAGGCAGAACAAGGCCTCCCTCTCCCCCAAAGCTTTTTAAAACAAAAAACTACAAACCTCTAAAGAGCAGCCCTAATTTCCTTATTTAGCCGTATTTCAGCAAAATAACATCTGTCTTCTATTCGGATTCTATTAATTGCTTCCTCTCCACTATACTTTTTCACCCTACCTCACAACAACATCCAGTCAATATCCCGCTTGGTTGACATGATGCAAATTGACAGGAAAAATCAGATATACTAATGCCATTCAAATGTACTCCACTGGACTTTTCACTTTGGTCTTGTTTCAATCTGTTCGCCCTTATAGTGCCGTTTGAATTGCTAGAGCGTAAAGATTGCTAAGCGTACTTCTCATCCCTTTTCCCTTCCCCTCTATATAGGAAAAATATGCAAATATACACCTGCCCAACCAAAATTCAAATTACATTTTGCTCAATGAAAAGCAATGTCATAGATTGAAAACCATGAAAAGGTTAAGAGAACTAAAGCAAAACAAAATTTAAAACAAAAATTTGCCTCCTAACAATCACTTCCAAAGTCTCCTCTTTTTCCACAGGGAGACTCAGGAGGACCTCTGGTGGTGTACAATGGGTTTGTGTGGGTCCAAGCTGGAGTAGTGAGTTTTGGAGATCGTTGTGCCATTCCAAAGAGACCCAGAGTCTACGCTCGAGTGTCAAAGTATGACAAATGGATCAATGACAGTGTTACTGGAAAGAAACCAGGCTTTGTTAACTTCACCTCCCCAGGCACTGACTTCGACTTGTCCTTCACCTGTGCTACATCATTGCCTTTCACTAATGATGATAGTATTTCTGGCAGTTGTGAAAACCTGAGTCACTTCACTCAATTTGTGACTCTCACTGCTCTTGCTCTGGTTCTCCATGTCTCTGTTGGTAGTAGGGGAATGTAAATGTGGGAGTTTTATTTCTGCTATCGACTTATTAATGAGCTTTTTCTTTTTTTACTCACATAGTGCTTCTCTGCAGTTGAAGTCACCTCAACCAATGTTGATTATCTTTACTCATTTAAAAATACATAAGTGGTTTATTTAGAATCTAAAACAATTTTTATTTGAAAACCACATTCTGTAATGCTGTATCAATCTACAATCTAACTAATCCAACACTATTATGTCTAAGTGGCTAATTACAAGTGGGCTGATTTAAACTGATTTTGGTAGAAATGTAATCAAAATAATCAAATCAAATAATTGTAAATGTTTGTATTTATGGGTTAGATTTATAGCCATTTATGATTAAAAATAAACAATCTCTTCACATTTAAATTTGCTGTGTCTTTCTTGCATTTTTCTTCCATGAAAATTAATCAAACAGTTAGATATCCATCATAAATAGCACTGTTATGATCTTGGCACTGATTACTGGATTAATTGTTCATTTTTTCCAGCTGCCTAGCTGCGCTCAGTTTCTCGTTACCACTTTAGCTTCTATTTAAACTGTTTGCCCCCAGCTATCAGTGCCAGATTATTCAAGCTGTACATGAGAGTTCTCTAGCATAGCCAGTCTCTAGCATATTTCAGAATGGAAGAATAGAGAATGAAGCAGAATGAGGAAAAGGTATCCCTATGTCCTCAAGCAGTCTAAGTTTGTAGCAGCAGAACCCTGGCATTAGCAATCAAATACAGCTCAGACAATTCCACAATATATGCTGTTTAGAATACTACAAACCAGGCATCGACCCGCATCTAGCACTGCAAGTACCTGCTGGAGCTACGGTCTTGGTATTGGCTTATTTTTCTGACTAATTCAATCAACGCACTCTCTGACAACTAGTCGCCTGGAACGCTCATCGCTTTGGACAGATACGCACAGGTTTTACAAGCAACCTCCTCCCCACAACCCACTCTCTCTTGTTGTGCCTTTGCAATCGAAGCAGTTCTAATTAGCACATGGTGCACGAATTATTGTATTGCCTGCACGCTCTCACTCGCATTAAAAAATTATTTATCTGACTGGCAGGCATCCGTGAGCAACTATCTATATCAGGGAGACTCCTGGAGACTTGAGATGTCAGTTACCGGCCCCAGCCCCCCTCCTCATGGCAGCTCATGGCTCTCTGCTGAGGTCCGGTCCAGTCAGCGGCCCAGCAGACAACTTCATACCCCCCCTCCCTTGGGCCAGTGAACCAGTGGGCTGGTCTGTAGTCTATCTCAGGGCATAAGAAAAGTACAGGTCAGAACTAAATAAGGCAACATCCCCGAATTGATACCAAATTTGTTGCTTAATTTGAATTTATGGTGGGAGTTTACAATTGTGAGATTTGCTGAAAAGGAGGTGTTGATGGAGTTTGAACTTCTCTGTACATCCATTTCACCCACTGAACTATTGTTATTCATCTATGACAATGTAAATTCGGTTTTGCATTCTATGACCCCTTTAACATTTTTCCCTTTCATTACTTTTTTAGTTTTTAAAAATGTTGCTATTACACTTTTACTTCAGTAAAGAGCTGAAGTGGATACTCTAACTTGTACAAAAGTGTTTTTAAATTGTAGAATTTCTACTTCTACTTGAGAAATAAACATTAATACTTTTAACACCTCTAGATTTGGCGCTAGGCATTTTTTTTTTAATAAACAGGGACTGAATAGGCACTAGATTTAATGACTAAAATACTAAGATGGCAACACTGCTCTCAGGCAACATTCTCTACTATTTTCCTTGTCATTACTAAAAGCATCACTCTGAAAATCTTTGAAAATCTTTCTTTTTCAAGTTTTACACCAGCAATGACAGATTGCAATATGCATGGATGTTGAGAAGTCATAGTAGAAGAGAAAAACACTTTGCAGGCTAAACTGTTGTGCCACATAATAAAAAACACACAGAAGCACATATCACAGAAAGTGGTGAATTTTGATTTAAATTTAAATTCTTAAAAACTATTAAAAAAACAATTATCCTTTTAAAGTGCTTAGAGTGCTTAGGATATTGCAAAATAAATGGATAAAATATTTTATTTCGCTGTTTTGGGAAAAGGTCAGGGCCCTCTTGAGCCCCAAGTAGATCAATGACAAAGTCCCAGGAATGACACCTGACTTTGCTGCCTTTATTTCGCGAGGCACTGACAGCAAGTAGAACATGACCTGCCTGTACAGGCATGCTAGAAAATGGCACCCCTTTGTAATTAGACAAGATTAACCCTAATGGATGTGTACAAGGAGGAAATCTTTGCTCTCAAATAAATGCATATGGGAGAGGGTAAAATTTGTCAGAATGTAGACAAACACGTAAGTTGTGAAGGTGTCTTACTTAAATGGGTGAGTCACATCCTTAATTATTTAAAACTAGATAAGAGGAAATGTTCAGAAATGTTGAAGGCAATTAAAACATTAGAGGAAAAGAACATCAAACCAACTGTAAAACACAGGGGATTTTTTTAGAGGGTGCTTTATAATGTAAGAAAGATATTACTAACTGTTTAAAAAGCTTTTGCAGAAAAGTGACAATTAACTAAAATATGGCAGTAAATCCATCTAGCACCGACTTAGAAATAAATGAAGACAGTCTTGGACTAAGTGAAAACCCAGATCCTGATTTAAACAAACCCGAAATAAGTTGCTAGAACTAAAACATTTTGAGGCAGTCATTTACAAGAAAAGTTTTAGGATTATTAACCCAAAATTACATTATGAGAGATGACTTTTTTATTAAGTGGCAGTTCTTCTTTTACATTTAACTTTAATGAATTCACTATGTCAACTCAAAAACGTTACCTGCTACTATTTAAAATTTTTTTTTTACTTGAAATAATTTCATTCTCATTCGCAAAGAGTTGAAATTTTATATGCTGCTGTTTCTTCAACCCTAACTATTAATACACACTAAGATATCAAAAAACTAATTATAAGAGAGAATTACAGTTGTTTCCTGTGGGAATTAAAAACATTAATGCCAAGCAGCTGTCAGCATAGTTATTATTTCCTCATACATTTCATTTCCTTTACATTTTTCATATACTATTACTTGCTACCCGGCAACCATTAAATACAACAGAAACTTCACAAATGGTCTTTCAACGCCAGCCACACCCTTTGTCTAATAGTCACCTGACGGTATCTTTTTGTCAAATGTTGCACAATTACTTCCTTTTAAACTGTTCCTTATTAAGGAAACTGGACGGGAAGTTTTATAGAAGATGTTTTCACCTCTCTTCCAACAAGCTTGTTCAGTTCTAACTCGTGGTAGGGAGCACTGAAATTAATATACTGTAGGTGTAACAAAGAATTAGGGGAAAGACATAAGGTGGCTGTGATCCCTCTTACTGGTTTGGCCATGGAGGTCACCTTTGGTGAAATCACATCTAACTCAATGAGCTAAAGTTGTGGTTTGTTATCTGACAAAACCTTTTCTTATAAATCTTCAGAGTTCAAGTGTAAGAGGAAAACCTGCTCTTCCTGTTACTTTGGTCTCAGTATTCACATCTGAGCTACACAACTGTTTGTCAGTTTCACCCCTGTTCATACCTAGTAATTATGCTGAACTAAAAAGACTAAGTAGATTAGCTATTATTAAAACGGAGAGACTCTAGTGTCTAATTTTCTATGAGTTTTCTTCCTTGACTACAAAAATTGCTTCCTTAAATGTAATATTGAGCATGCAGTTTAAGGGCTAACTAATTACAAACGAAAAATTTCCAGAAAAACAAGCTTGTATTACTTCCCCAATTCTTCCAACTAGTTGTATCAGTGAGAAATATTAGGTAACAGGAACAGTTTATTAAATTCCATATCACTCTAGGTGGAGCTAAACACACAAAAAAAGTATTTATAGCTGAAGAGGAGAGGAAAGACTTACTGATCAAAATGGCTCTACATCGGTATGCATGTGGTATCACTGTGATGATCATTCTCCTTTCCAGAGGTGAGAAAAAACACTTTATATTTATATTACTCTTTGCTTTAATTAAGCCAAGGCAAACTGCATGTAATCACTTAGACAGTCATTTGTGTTTTTGTTCAGTTGTAAAAACATTTTTATTTTTATTTTTGCAAAAGGTAAGGTTCAATTGTTTATGGGGGTTCAAATTAAATGGTTTCCTGAAATTTTTAAGCTTAGATTTTGAATGTGTTAGATTTTAAACGACTTGAATGTAGTAAATATGTACAATACACTTTATATAATATTTTGCTTTGTTTGTTTTTATTTTGCTTTTTTTTATCCATGTTGCAGACATCCTACCTTTTTGACAACCAGCTCTTTGCATTAATAAAAGCAGGTTTCCTTCTAAAACAGAAAAAAAGAAAAAACAGCCTATATTATATTTGGTTTGATTATTGTATTTTTTTAACAATTGTTTTATGGTAAGCTTAACAGGGGAAAGGGAGTTGCTTAGTCATCTTGACTTTCTGAAACCAGGCTCTGTAGTATTTGCTATGTATGGCAAGAATTTGTGTGAAGAGGAAATAATATATGACATTTTTGCCAGTTCTGCCTTTGTCTGATAAAGTAGAAAATGTCAGCAGTTTGTCTAACATATTTGTATGTGTATATAAATTTCAGGAATTAACTCAGAACTTGGTAAGTATTCAACGTGTATTTCCTAGTTTTAGAAAACTGCAGAAAAACATAACGTAATAGAATCTCTGCATTTCCTTGTAATTCTGTTTTTTTTTCCCTGTGAAAAACAAAAACAATAAACTCAAACTTTAGATCTCTTTAAATGATAAAATTGCGTATAGGATTTATTAGATAGATCTACTCACAAACGTTTTTAGATGGTTTAAATGTCTTTACATGAAAAAATGTCAGTGTTATTTTTTGGGGGTTTTGAAAGAAATTCTAACAAAAGTAGAGGATTTTGCAAGATGGAAGGAATTTTCTTTATGGTTTAAAAAACCACCATATGTTTGTTTCTAGCCTCTTATTTCTCCGAAACACCTTTTGAATTATAATACCTTTCACTTGTTTGTCTGTATGGCTATTTAATAATTAAATTATGACACCCTAACTGTAGAGTTTGACCACTATTAGACCAGGTTATTTTTGTGTTATCTTGAACCTAGATGAAATGAAAAGCTCAAGTATTACACTCATTATATTATTGACAAAAGTAAAGGAGTAAAAATTCAAAAGACAAACAAAAAAAAAGGATTTGAAGTAGGTTAAAAATGATAAGCACTGAAATACCTAATAGCGGTTGTTTTTTAACATCAACTTTAAACATGTTTTAAAATTTATGTTTTAGACCCCAACTTAATAGTTGATCTAGTGTAATGTCATGCGCATATATCATAATCCATTCCCTATATAATAATAGTGTTGGTCTATCATATAAAATCTTAGTAAAATGCACAGAAGTTGGTGCTTGTTAAATGAAAAATTAATGCCTCTATGAGACACTTAATATTAGTTTGAAGAAATATTGTTTAGAAAATGTTTATTAACAAAAGCATTTGTCTTGAGTCAGTTCATTTTAGCGTATTTAATATTTAAACTACCACATTCTTACAAAAATGTGCAAATGCCATGTGTCCTGTCACTAAAAACGAAAGTTTCAACTAAAAGTGACATATTTCCATAAGAAATTAAAAATGACATGATAACCATTTGTTTCTGATTTTGTCAATGCTGTCAGCCTGTGCCAGGTCTCCAGTCACTAGCGGGATTTTAGGAGGGGGCCAAGATGGCTCTCCAGGAACTTGGCCTTGGCATGTCATTTTTACACATCATGACTCAGTCTTTTGTCAAGGCTCCCTGATCACAGATGAATGGGTTTTGACAGCTGCTGAATGCTTAAGACGGTAAGCAACTGTGGTTTGGTGTTTTTGCTTGTCATTAGGATTATAACGTTGCACTGTAACTAACAGGTGGTAATATATCTTATTATATTGTCTTGTGTTTCAGCATCATATCCCTATCATTTACACTTTTTATTTTTGTTTCTTAAACATGTTGAAATATTATTAAAATAACTTTTTTATTGATTTAGTCAAACTGCTTTTTAGACTTCCCCAAGCCACTAAATTTCACTAAGTCAGTTAAGCAACAGAGTAAAGCTTGATCTCCAACTATTAATTATTGACTTGTAGGCAATAGAGGTAGACAATAAGCTTCTACTTAAAGGAATAGTACACCCAAAACATGATTAGCCTTCATTTTCTACTCACCCCCATGCTGAACAACAACCTGGAGTACTTTTTTGATCTCAAATGCATCTGGAGATCTGGGAGGCTTCTTGCTGTCTGCTGACATTCAAATAATGGAGGTCTATGGTGCCCGAGACAGAAAGGTCCATAAAAGTCCACAAAAAACGTGTCAATATTCCTCCATACTGCTCGTCCAATGTATTCCAAGTGTCCTGAGTGGGTAGCATCCAGAATTTACTCGAAACGAAGTCATTTAGAATGTTTTTAGAGCATAAACAGTAGTGTATAGGATTTCCTGAAAGCGCGCACATGCGCGATCACGACGCTACGGAAGCCGGCAGACCAAGCCAGATGAAAGTGCGCATTCAGCATCTGCTCTTCCAATAATGCAAGCGTAGAAGAAGAAATGTGCCGTTTACCTGTGCAAAGAAAGAAACAACGAAAGAAAAATGTCTGAGGACTTCAGTGTTGAGGAAGAGCATGAGTTCTTTGCCGAGCTGAATGCGCTGGTTTGGTCTGCCGGCTTCCGTAGCGTCGTGATCGCGCATGTGCGCGCTTTCAGGAAATCCTATACACTACTGTTTATGCTCTAAAAACATTCTAAATGACTTTGTTTCGAGTAAATTCTGGATGCTACCCACTCAGGAAACTTGGAATACATTGGACGAGCAGTATGGAGGAATATTGACACGTTTTTTGTGGACTTTTATGGACCTTTCTGTCTCGGTCACCATAGACCTCCATTATTTGAATGTCAGCAGACAGCAAGAAGCCTCCCAGATCTCCAGATGCATTTGAGATATCAAAAAAGTACTCCAGAGTGTTGTTCAGCATGGGGGTGAGTAGAAAATGAAGGCTAATCATGTTTTGGGTGTACTATTCCTTTAATGTGATAATCAGTGGCATTACATTTATTCAAAGTTGTTTGTTCTTTCTTCTCTAAGATCTTACCTCAGTGGTGCGGTATTGCATTTGGGTGCAAACAACCAGTCAAGATTTGGGGAAGTAACTTGTAGAGTTGACTCAATCGTCTGCCATCAAGATTATGAAACTCATTATAATAACGGTGAGAACGACATCTGTCTTGTAAAGCTGTCAGCTCCTGTCAACTTCACGGACTACATCCAACCGGTCTGCTTGGCCTCAGAAGATAGCACTTTCTATGATGGAACTGCCAGCTGGGTCGCTGGTTTTAGCAGTAATGGTGGGTCTTATTTTTTATTTTTTTATAACAAGCAACAACATTTATTAAAACACCTTAGTTGGATTCCTTATAAAGATCTAATCTTTTAAAACTTTTTCTTTTAGAACACCCTTATTATCCTGATACTTTCCAGGTGGTTGATGTATCAGTGTTTGGGAACAATAAATGCAGCTGCTTCTACAGAAACCACTACTACTACCACAACATCCGTTCAATAACAAAGAACATGATGTGTGCTGGAAGTGAGAATGGATCGAAGACTGCATATTATGTAAGTACCGTTTTTTATTAAGATTTAATTTCTATTGTTGTTCTTTTTGATTTTATAAACAAAATTAAAATCTCTGAAATGCACTTGAGTCAGTTCTCTCATTTGCCTTGTTAACAATCTCATATTAATGATAGTGATGGCCATTTTATAACCTGTCTGTAGAGGACCTACATTTTTTGAAAGTTGGTAATATCTACATTAACTTTAAACCTCTTTTACTAGGGAAATAATGGGGCAGCTCTAGTGACCAAAAAAGACTCCATCTGGGTCCAAAGCGGGATTGTGGGTCATGTTTATGATCTCCGTCGACCCACTAGCTACATTCGTGTGTCCCAGTACCAGAAATGGATCAGCGACAGGGTCACTGGCATGGAACCAGGATTTATTACCTTCACCTCCCCAGGCAATGACACCGACTTGAATTTCACTTGTCCCACAATACCACCTACCACTCCCTATCCTTATTCCACAAATTACCCTCATACCACACACCACCCTCATGCCACACATCACACTGACTACCCCACTGATGACAGCATATCTACCAGTAGTACAGCCCCCACTCCCTGTCCTCATCCCACACATTACCCTCATACGACACACTACCCTCACCCCACACATCACACTCATTATACCACTGATGACAGCATATCTACCAGTAGCACAGCCCCCACTCCCCATCCTCATCCCACACACTACCCTCATACAACAAACTACCCTCACCCCACACATCACACTCATTATACCACTGATGACAGCATATCTACCAGTAGCACAGCCCCCACTCCCCATCCTCATCCCACACACTACCCTCATACAACAAACTACCCTCACCCCACACATCACACTCATTATACCACTGATGACAGCATATCTACCAGTAGCACAGCCCCCACTCCCCATCCTCATCCCACACACTACCCTCATACAACAAACTACCCTCACCCCTCACATCACACTCATTATACCACTGATGACAGCATATCTACCAGTAGTACAGCCCCCACTCCCTGTCCTCATCCCACACACTACCCTCATACGACAAACTACCCTCACCCCACACATCACACTCATTATACCACTGATGACAGCATAGCTACCAGTACTACAGCCCCCACTCCCCATCCTCATCCCACGCACTACCCTCATACAACAAACTACCCTCACCCCACACATCACACTCATTATGCCACTGATGACAGCATAGCTACCACTAGCACAGCCCCCACTCCCCCATCCTCATCCCACACACTACCCTCATACAACAAACTACCCTCACCCCACACATCACACTCATTATACCACTGATGACAGCATAGCTACCACTAGCACAGCCCCCACTCCCCATCCTCATCCCACACACTACCCTCATACAACAAACTACCCTCACCCCACACATCACACTCATTATACCACTGATGACAGCATAGCTACCACTAGCACAGCCCCCACTCCCCATCCTCATCCCACACACTACCCTCACCCAACGATTTACACTCACTATAATACTGATGACAGCATACCTAGCAGTAGTACAGCTCCCACTCCCCATCCTCAGCGCACACACTACCCTCACTCCACACATCACACTGACTATACCACTGATGACAGCGTATTTGGTGGTGGTAATGCCGTGGTTCCCATCACTCACATCTCTCTGTTTTTGTTCTGCTTATTCATGTATTTGTAGACAGCACAGAAATGTAGCTTAAATGGATTAGTGACAGACTCATTAGCATGGAACCAGTCTTTGTTACCTTCACCTCCCCTGGCAATTACACCGACTTGAACATCTATTCCACACTACCCCCTACCACTTACACTACCACTCTCTATCCTTATCCCACACACTACCCTTAACCCACACATTACACTAATTATGACAGGGAATCTGCCAGTGGTACAGCTCCCACTCCCCATTCTTATCCCACACACTACCCTTATACCAGACACTACCCTTACGCATTCATTAATTTAAATAAATTCAGTTTATTTCTATAGTAGCAATTAACAACATGTCATCTCAAGGAACATTATGTATTTAAAGTTTTCTTTCTAAGGAAAACCAGTTGATTGCACCAACTCATTGACCTGAAGGCCATCCCTCACACTAGGCATGCTTGTAGCAACATTGGAGAGGAAAAATCCCTTTTAACAGGAAGAAACCTCCAGCAGAACCTGGCTCAATGTGAGCGGCCATCTTCCCTGGCCGACTTTGGGATCAAGGCGACAGAAGCAGACACAAATTACACTCACTATACCACTGATGATAGCATATCTGCCATTGGTACAGCTCCCACCCCCCATTCTTATACCACAAACTACCTTTACTTCATACATCACATTAGTACCACGGATGACAGTATATTTGCCGCTGAGGTTCCTGTAACTCACATCTTCTTTCTATTCCTATTCTGCTACTACATATCTTTTTTGGTGGCATAGATATTTAACTTAGCACTTATTTAAGCTGCACTCTAGATATTTACATTCAAATCTTGCCTCCTTGATATGACAATATGTCAAATAGTGACACTGTACTGCTCTGGACTGTTTCTCTGAGGTAGTTTCTTTTTATAAATTAGACAGAAAATTAAGGGTGATTTGGTCTAAGGATTAAATTTGGTAAAAAGTGTATTCTTTCCTTTTTCTATATATTTGGTTCCATATATAGGTTATTTTCTACCTTAACTGCAAATACAACATAAATCGTAAGGAAGCAGACAATAGGGTCATGATTTAATCCAATCAATTGTACAGTTTGATTGTAAAATATGTAACAAACAATGTAATAAGCACTATGATTGACTGTGATTTTATTTCAAATAAATTTGATTTTTATCAAGTATTTCTATATGCATTATTAATTTTACCAACCTCATAATTAAGTTTGGTTGGGTGGGGTGTTGGCCATTAATAAGTGTGGTGAGAGATTTAAAGAGGTAAGTGACTTCAAGAGGACCCAGGAAGATTTCAAGTGATAATCAACAAGAAGATTCTCATATCAAGGGTGCTTAAGAAAAACTATATATCTGTTTAAAAGCTATAGCATAAATATGTCCACAAAATTATGAATTAATCCACCTAGAATGAGCAAGTGAGAAAATCTTGGGCTTAGTTAAAGAACCTGTGTGGCTAACTGTAACAGACAGTTCTGAAAGAGTTGAAAAGGGAAAACTTTCCTTATACCAATATCAGAAATGACACATGGCAATACATCGTTAAACAGTCCACTCAATTTTGACAATCAAAGGGGGCAAGCCCAGCTAGTATTTTTTCGTTTATATTTTGCTAAGCTAAATTATAGTTTATTAATAAACACGGTTTAAAAAACAAAGTTTGTATTGCTAAAAAATGTGAGCTTGATAGGGAACTGAAAATTTCATGAACTGACACAAACTTTTTACAAGTGCAAGTACAACACCTGTTTTAATACCTTTTAATTATTGGCAGTTTACCTTTAATTACTCTTCACTATTCATTGTTAATAGTCAAACCATTCTTTTATCAGCTTACTCAGCTTAAACGATATGACACACTCAGTATCTAATGGTAAAACTTTGGAAGTTACATAGAAAATACATAACTATGTATTGTATGTAGTATTTAGAATAATTATGTTAATGTGATTTTTACAAAATTATTAAGGTGGGAATTAAGTTTAGGTCAAGATTAGGTATGAACCCATATTGATTTGGTTTAGGGTAAGAGTCACAGTTAGGCTAAGTTGCGCAAAGATAGTGAGAGAAGTTGTTGTGTGTGTGTGTGTGTGTGTGTGTGTGTGTGTGTGTGGCCATAGATTTGTTACCTTGTGAGGACTATTTCCGACAAATATATTACATGTAGGAGATGTATATGTACTTGTGGGGATGACATTTCCTTGATGAAATTTTCCATTCTTGGGATCAGAGTTATGTTTAAGCCTAATGTGTGAATGGAGTTTAGGTTAGGTTTATGGTTAGGCATGTGTTAGAAATAGTTAGGCCTACAGTACGGGTTAGGGCCATAGAAATGAGTGGCAAAGAGTCCCTATCAAGAGCAGTGTACACTGATATGCACTCATTGCTGTCACTGTGCTTCATGAACACAACACATCAGATTCATTTAATGTTTTTACAGTTTTTAAAATCGCTATGACAGAGGTTTCAATGCATTTAACAGGTTTTCTAAACTCTTAACGCACCAACACACCTAAACACCCAATTGGTAAAATGATTAATTTCATATTCATTCCATCCATCCATCCATCCATCCATCCATCCATCCATCCATCCATCCATCCATCCATCCATCCATCCATCCATCCATCCATCCATCATCTTCCACTTATCTGGGGTCCGGTCTCCTCAGCCACTTGGACCAGTCCTCCGGGGGAATCCCAAGGCGCTCCCAGGCCAGCCGAGAAACATAGTCCCTCCAGTGTGTCCTGGGTCTCCCTCTGGGCCTCCTCCCAGTGGAACATGCCTGGAACACATGATAATGATGCCAGGAGGCATCATTATCAGATGCCCGAGCCACCTCAACTGGCTCCTCTCAATGTGGAAGAGCAGCGGCTCTACTCTAAGTCCTCCCTGGATGACTGAGCACCTCACCTTATCTCTAAGGGCACACTTTCCTGTGTCAAAGACCCTAGCGACCCTCAGGACTACAGACCAGTCATGATTATCATGAAGACCTTCAAGAGGCTGGTCCTGGAGCAGCTAAGGCCCATGGTCAGGCCCTTCACTGATCCACTACATTTCACCTACCAGCCCCGCCTGGGAGTTGAGGACAGCATCATCTTCCTACTGAACAGAGTCTACAATCATCTGGACACGCAGGCCTGTCAGAATCATGTTCTTTGATTTCTCCAGTGCATTCAACACCATCTGCCCGGCTCTACTTGGTGATAAGATGACAGAGATGCATGTGGAGGTGCCCATCATGTCCTGGATTGTTGATTACCTGACAGGCAGACCATGTATGTACGCCTACAGAACTGTGTGTCTGACAGGGTGGTCAGCAACACTGGGGCCCCTCAGGGGACTGTCCTCTCCCCCTTCCTCTTCACCCTTTTCACCTCGGACTTCAACTATTGCACCTTCATAAGTTTTCTAATGACTCAGCGATTGTTGGCTGCACTGAAAAGGGTGAGGAGAGTGAATACAGGACTGTGGTGAGCTACTTTGTCACTTGGAGTGAGCTGAACCATCTGCAGCTCAAGGTGACAAAGACCAAGGAGTCTTAGTGGATCTGAGGAGGACAAAAACACCTGTGACCCCTGTTTCCATTCAGGGGGTTCCTGTTGACATTGTGGAGAAGCATAAGTACCTGGGAGTGTACTTAAACAATAAGTTGGACTGGACTACAAACACCGAGGTGGTCTACAAAAAGGACCAAAGCCGACTCTTTTTCCTGAGGAGGCTGAGGTCCTTTAACATCTGTGGGGCAATGCTGAGGATGTTTTATGACTCTGTTGTTGCTAGCACGCTCTTCTTTAGTGTCACATTCTGGGGCAGTGGGCTGAGGATTGCTGACAACAGCAGACTGAACAAACTTATCAGTAGGGCCGATGATGTTGTGGGGGAGGAGCTGGACACTGATGACCGTGGCAGAGAGGAGGTTGCTGCCCAGGCTTCAGTCCATCTTAGACAATGACTAACATCCTCTCCATGACACAATGGTCCAGCAGACGAGCTCCTTCAGTAGAAGACTCCTATACCCAGATGCACCACAGAGCGCCACAGGAAATCATTCCTGCCTGTGCTCATCAATCTCTACAACCCCCCCACCCCCTGAAATGGACATTCATTCATATATATATATATATATATATATATATATATATATATATATATATATATATATATATATATATATATATATATATATATATGAATATTAGTGCTGTCAAAATTATCGCGTTTACGCAAGGCCATTTTAACGGCGATAATTTTTTTAACGTGAGATTAACGCTATGTGGTTTTATGGTACAATTTTCCAAGTACATCCCGCTGCAGCCTGCGGAAAGGCGGGGCTATTTTCCCCCAGTGTATGCATTTCTCATAGGCTTCCAGAGCGGAGCTCTTCAAGGAAAAAAGACGCTCATACACTGGGTGACGCTAGTGCCTGTTCTTTAAGCCCCACCACCAACAAACAAGTTGAGTGTTTGGTAACTAGTAGCAACCTGAAATACGCTGAGAAAACAGATTACTGAGGTGAAATGGAATCTGCTACGGCACTCTTGCCATCTGTGTACGCCACAGGTCGGTATTGTGTGTGTGTGTGTGTGTGTGTGTGGGTGGGTGTGTCTGTGTGTGGGTGGGTGCTTGTGTGTGTGTTCTCATTTTTGTTAAGAGGCTGAAAAGTAACTTTCTAGAGAATAGACTACCTCCATCTAGTGATGTCGGTCTATTGATTTTGATGTATTGATTGAAAATTGTTCATTATTACCTTGGTTAATTAACATCTAATGTTAACTCTACTAAATTTTATAGCAGTAGGGTAAAATGCTTGTCTTTGTTCAAAAGACTGTATTAACGGTAAAGACTGTCTTTTACATCAGCCTGTTTTCAGGGCCTTTTTTTTGGCTACATATTTGTTATTTTTGGCATAAATCAGTATCTGTGACCTGTTTTCATTTTAAAAAAACAACATTGGCACAAACCTAGCCTGTATGTATTTTTTTGTATGTCATCGAGAGTATTTAAATGATTTTCAATCAGGAAAAAAATGTGCGATTAAAATGCGATTAATCGCGAGTTAACTCAGGCATTGATGCGATTAATCGCAATTAAAAAAATTTAATCGATTGACAGCACTAATATATATTATATATATGTATTAACGTATTTCTGATTCTGACTACGAAGAAACCTCATTTCAGCCGCTTGTGTCCGGGATCTTATTCTTTCAGTTCATGACCCAAAGCACATGACCATAGATGAGGGTAGGAACCAGAGTGCGAAATACGGGGGGTCCGGGGGGGCTCGACCCCCCCGATTAACCCATGAGACCCCCTCAAAACCTCAAAAGCAAAATTTAAGGGGAGTCTTAAATTGTGTCAAAAAAAATGTAAATAAAATGTTCTGGCTCCTTAGGAAGCCATTGCTCATATTTGCGTATTGTTTCTAAATTATATAATATAAGCTTTCTTATGTATAATATTTGATATAGTCTTATTTTGAAAGCACCGGAAGTTCAGCAGTTGGTGTCTTCCTGTTTAACGCGTAAACACTGCATAGCTAAATCTGTTCTCTCTGAGCTGCGTTTTTGGCCAGTACAGCATGTAATTTGATGTGAAGGGTGTATTTCGTTTATGTACATATAGTACTATGTTTCATGTTGTGTTTGGAGGTTTATTGCAAGAAAAGTCTCCGAGAAGAGAAGTTTAAAAAGACACTAGCATACGCGCTAACTGGCTGTTAGCGATGCCGCTAGCTAGCGGCTAATGTTAACATGTTGTTTGTGTCAATATATGTTTCTGTGCATATTCAGGGAATATTTTGAGTTTATTTTTTAGGAGAATTGTGCCTGTTTATTTGGAATTGTGCCTGTTTACACAAAGACTTATGCACATTATTTGTTTGTTGCAGTTTTACCATTCATTCATCTATCCACACCAGCTAATAAATCCAAAGAAAAGGCTTACGGTGTGGTTTTTGGAAATGATGGTTATCTACCTGCTAAGCTAAGAGTGAGGGCAGGACAAAAATAATTTTTTTGTCGCTGATGGTCGCTTAAATGTTTTTAAGCTCAACATGTCCAGTATTAAAATTCAAAAACTTTATTCACAAATATGCTCGGTTTTTTTGTGAAGTGGAGCCAGCCTATCCTGTTCGCGTATTCAAATTAGCCATGTGCTTTTCTGCACGCGGAACAGATTGCGTGAAGACAGCAGGTCTTCACTCCTGTTTGTGGACCTCAACGGACCTCCTCTGGACAAATTCGACCCATTTCCATTCGTCAGAAACTGGATTAAAGCAGGACATGTGTGCATGAAAGAGAAAGACAGACAGACAGTCTTTGTGCATGTGTGTGTTTTCATAGACTGACTGTCTATTCAGGCTCTTGCCCACTCAGATTCACAGAAAGCTTCATCCACCAAGCTGTCAGGAAGCTGAGACCCCCTCAAAAAAAAAATCACTCTAGACAAACTCCTGCACTCTCTTGCACTACTATTAATACTATATTTATTTACTGTTCGCCCCACTGTAACTGTTACAAATGCTATATCTTACATAATTGGTAATAATAATAATAGTTTTTCTGCTGCCATTACCATCTGCCTTTTTGCACTAGCATAAGTATTGCATATTTTAATATTATTGTACATTTTATATTTTATTGTGAAATCGAATGTTTAAATTTTAGTATTAGGAACTGATCTTATCTGTTGTGCCTGTGCACTTTATCGGTTTCACTGTTGGTGAATAAGTAACGAACGTCCTCTCGAGTCCTTGTATGTCTGGTGAATCTGAAGAATTGACATTAAAGCTGACTTTGACTTTGAAATGTAATAGGCCTACTGCATATTGAGAAAATTTAGATTGGTATTGCACAACAAACGGGATATGGGGACCCCCCCGAATATTGACAGGTATTTCGCACACTGGTAGGAACGTAGATCGACCAGTAAACCTTTGCTTTTTGGCATTGCTCTCTCTTCACCACAACAGACCTGTACAGCGCACGCTTCACAGCAGATGGCGCACCAATTCTATGGATCTCCCGCTCCATCTTCCCCTCATTCGGGAACAAGACTGCAAGACACTTAAAATCCTCCACTAGGGGCAACACATCCTGCCCAACCCAAAGACGGCACTCTACCCTTTTCCGGCTCAAGAGCATGGTCTCGTATTTGGAGGCACTGACCCTTATCCCAGCCGCTTCACACTCGGCTGCGATCTGATCCAGTGAGAGCTGTAGATCATGCCCTGATGAAGCATATAGAACCGCATCATCTGCAAATAACAGAGATGCAATTTAAGGCCACCACCACAGATCCCCTCAATACCTTGGTTGCTACTAGAAATTCTGTCCAAAAAAATGTATGAACAGAATCAGTGAAAAAGGGCAACCTTGGTGTAGTCCAATGCAGACCAGGCTCTGACACCGGTCATACGGAGACGTAACAGCCCTTATTAAAAGGCCTAGTACTCCATACTCCCGGAGTACCTCCCAAAGGACCCCCAGAGGGACACGGTTGAATGCCTTCTCCAGATCCATGCAATGTTGCAGAGCCGCATTAACCAACACAGCCCCACAACATTCAGAGCCCTAAGGTACTCAAGTCGAATCTCATCCACCCCTGGGACCTGAAGAGTTTTTTTTTTACCACCTCAGTGACTTCAGCACCAGAGATATGAGAACCAGAGCCGGAGCCCTCAGGCTCTGCTTCCTCAATGGTAGACATGTTGGTGGGATTAAGGAGGTCTTCAAAGTACTCCACCCATTGACATAAAACATCACGAGTTGAGGTCAGCAGCACACCACCCCCACTATCAATAGTTTTGGTACTGCACTGCTTCCCCTCCTGAGACACGGGATTGTGGACCAGGATCTCTTCGAAGCCATATGGAACTCTTCCAACGCCCAAGTTTTTGCCGCAGTGATCAGCCGAGCCACCTGCCGCTTTGACTGTCGGTACACATCAGCTGCTTCTGGAGTCCCACAGGTCAATAAAGCCCAACAGGACTCCTTCCTCAGCTTGACAGCTTCCCTCACCGCTGGTGTCCACCAGCGTGTTCAAGGGTTGCCGCCGCAACATGCACCGACAACCTTGCAGCCACAGCCCGACTAGCCACCTCAATAATAGAGGCACGGAACATGGTCCACTCAGACCCAATGTCCTCCACCTCCCTCTGAACGTGTTCAAAGCTCTGCCAGAGATGGGAGTTAAAGCCACTTCTCACCGGGGATTGTGCCAGACGTTCCCAGCAGACCCTCACAATACCTCTGGGCCTACTAGGTCTGCCCGGCGTCCTCCCCCACCATCGGAGCCAACTCACCACCAGGTAGTGGTTGGTGGAGAGCTCCGACCTTCTCTTCACCCAAGTGTCCAAGACATACGACCACAGGTCAGATGTAACAACAACAAAGTTGATCATTGAACTACGGCCTATGGTGTCCGAGTGCCAAGAGCACATATGGACACCCTTATGCTTTAACATGGTGTTCGTTATGGACAATCCATGACTAGCACAGAAGTCTAACAACAGAACACCACACGAGGTCCGGTCAGGTGGGCCATTCCTTCCAATCACGCCTCCCCAGGTCTCACTGTCATTGCCTACGTGATCGTTGAAGTCCCCCACAAGAACCGTTGGGTGTTGCGACCGGTCGGCGGGGCTTGGTGCCAGGGGCGGGGCATGTTTCGGTGCTCTGTGGGGCCGGGGCGTTTCGGTCGGTGCCGTGGGCGGGCCGGTGTTCGGCGCCCGAACCAAACTTCAGGGTGGCAGGCTGCCGGCGGAGCCCGCGGACTTGTCCCCGCGGCGCCGGCATGGCGGTGGCTGGGGGGCTTCTTCGGGGCTGTCTCTCCTCCTCCCTTGGTGGGGGTCTGATTTCCGGGGCTGGCCCCTCCTTGGTGCCTTCGCTCTTGGGGTCCCTTTGGGCGCCTAAGGCTTTGGGTCTCCCGGCGCTGGACTCAATGCTCTGGGGGTGTGCCTTTTCAGCTCTCCACAACCACTATTGAGCATTTTTTCTATGGATAAACTTTACATAAACAAGTTCACCCTTACAAACAATTACAGGTGCTTGGCTCCAGGAACTTAGAGATTCACTTCCATACAGAAACCCCACATTCATATCTTCAGGTAACACATAGTACATGTCAGACTTAATAATATTACTTTAGCGATAGTTTCAAGGTGTTGCTTTATTGTATATCTCGTACCATGTCTTTCGGTTCTGCTGTTCTTTTTTCATTTCGTTACAGGTGATGAAGCAGACTGAAAATGTTTTGTCATTGTCTCCTTTCTATCTCTTCTTTCTTTCATCTATTCTCTTTTTTTTCTTCCCTTTCTTCTTCTGTTTTTCTGCTCTATTTACATTGGAGTGTCCATATAAACTGTAAAACTCCCTGCATAATTATAATAAAGCAATTTATTGTCATGATGGGTTCTAGGCGTCTAACCCACATGCAGAAACACACTTAGAGTCAGGGAAAAAGTTCAAAGGGTTTATTTACAATATGTACAATGATAGAAGGATGAACTGGTTCTGGTTCTTCGGACCGGTCATGGGGAATCACCACTGAGGAGGACAGAGCTGTTAGACAGGATCCAGGAAACTTGCAGTTTTGAGATGTCAGAATAGAGTACCTGTTCTGAGAGGGTTCTGATCAGCAGGGGGGAATCTTGTGAGTCCGGAGGCTTGCTGGCAGACCGAGGGCTGAGGGCAGAGGCAGAGACTGAGTGCAGGCAGGCAGATGGCTGAGGGCAGAGGCAGAGACTGAGGCAGATTCCACGGTGAGATTTTAATCTCCAAGGTTTCAGGTAAGTCAGGATCTGTGAGACAGAGACAAACAGGGTCAGACAAGTTTCGGAACAAACAAGGTTCAGATCTGGTAGGTTGGCTCAGGTTAGATCTACCATTACTGGCAAACACTCTGGCAGGGGAGTGTCAGTCTCCTCCTCCTTAAATAGTGTGTGGAGGTGAGCTCATACCCTCAGCAGGAAGATCTTTGGTGCCCTCTGGTGGACAAGCCTCCGGATCCCAACAGTACCCCCCCTCAACGACCGCCACCTGGCGGTCCAAAGAACCCGAAGGCCGGGAGGGGTGGTAGTCGTCAATCAGAGCAGGATCTAAAATAAAAGAACCAGGGACCCAGGTTCGGTCCTCCGGACCGTAGCCCTCCCAGTCGACCAGGTACTGCCAACCTCGGCCCCGACGACAGGAGTCTACAATCCGGCGAACAGTATAAGCAGGATGCCCATCAATGTCATGGGGGGGGGGGGGGGGAGTCGGACGGAGGGCAAAGCGGACTGGTCAGGACGGGTTTGATTTGTGAAACTTGGACGGACAGCAGAGGGACTCATAATGGACTCAATTTTGTAGGGGCCAATGAAACGGGGGGGACAATTTCTTGGTTGCTTAGTGGTTGGGCTGTTTGGCTGTAGTTTCTGATGAATCGGCGATAAAAGTTAGTGAATCCCCGAAATCTTTGAAGCTGTCTCCTATTTTCAGGAGTGGGCCAGTGCAGAGTGCAGAACCGCTTTGATCTTATCCTCCGATGGCCTCACTCACCCCCCCCTCAACCCCCCCCTCCCCAAAATTTATCCCATGGTAATCAATACAGGGTCGAAGGGATCCGTCTTTCTTACCGACTAAGAACAACCCGGCTCCGAGTGGAGAAGAAGATGGTCGGATGATTCCAGCGGCTAGGGACTCATTGATATATTTCTCCATAGTTTCCCGCTCGGGTTTGGAGATGTTATAGAGCCGACTGTTATGGAGAGGGGCCCCAGGGAGAAGATCGATGGCGCAGTCATAAGGACGGTGTGGAGGGAGAGAAAGGGCTCTAGCCTTACTGAAAACCGGAGCCAAATCGTGATAATCTGGAGGAACAGCTGAGAGATCTGGCGGGTCAACCTCCTGACGGTTTGCCGGTGGCAGACTCGGAAGAGCGGCGGGGCGGAGACAGGAACTATGACAGGGGATAGACCAGGACTCCACATGTCTTTTAGACCAGTTAATATGTGGGTTGTGGAGTTGTAGCCAATCAAAACCTAGAACAGTGGATGAGCTAGCAGAGGGAAAAACAAAAAATGAGATGATCTCTCTATGGTTGCCGGAGATTAATAGCTCTAACGGTTTGTTCTGATGCGTAATCTGAGGTAGTTGTTTATCATCCAAGGCGGAGACTCTCAGGGGTTTGATCAACGGGGTGGTGTCAAGATTAAGTTGTTGGACCAAACTAGAATCGATCAGATTTCTCTCACAGTCTGAATCAATCATGGCCGACAATGTGAGGGATTGATCTTCAAAAAACAGAGTAGCAGGTAATAGCAGTCGAGGAGTTTTTTTAGTTTGTAGATGGTCCGCCAGACTCCTCATTTCCTCTGGCGGACCCTGGCTTTTACCTTAGCGAGACAGGTTGACACAAAATGTCCAGGTTCACCACAATACAGGCAGAGGTTTTGTTTGTATCTCCTTTGTTTCTCTTCAGCTGAGAGTCTGGTGTGACCAATCTGCATGGGTTCTGCTTCTAAGGACAAGGGGGGAAAACAGACTTCATTAGTTCCTTTAATAGATCTTTCAAGAAGTGTAGTGACTGGAAAAACATGATTCTTGGATCTGGCTCGTAACCTGTTATCTAGGCGGATTGTCAGTTTGATCAAATCCTCCAAGGTTAGAGGTTCATCTAGAGATAAAAATAAGCGCTCTTTAGTGCCGTTTCATCCCAACCAGAAGCGGCCGCTTTGATCCGGAAGTCGATCGAAAATTCGATCACTGTTCTGTTTCCTTGCTTTAATTCCAGCAAATCACGGGAATCGGGGTCTTATCAGAATCTTGATTAAATGCTTGTTTAAATTCTTCAATGAAACTGTCATAAGTACAACCGTACTCAATCTTGGACGAGAATTTAGCTTCCGCCCACTCCAAGGCTTTCCCAGACAGATGGGACAAAATAAAAGAAATCCTTCTTCCATCTTGCACAAAACTCAGAGGTGAATGATTGAAAATTATTGAACACTGGAACAAAAATCCTCTGCACTTACTTGGGTCTCCAGAAAATCTTTCGGGGAGAGATGGCCGGAATTCAGGAAATGACATGTGGATCTCTGACCTGAGAGGTGGATTGGAATCCTGAACGGGAAGCTGAACGGCTTCAACCACTGGTGTAACAGTCTGAGAGCTGGATCTATGGAGAAAGTTAGTAATTTCCTGCAGGGTGCGGTTGGCTTCAGCTTGGTGTTCACTTAACTCACGGAGGGCGGAGTCATGGCTCTGAATGAGGACTTGTTGTTGTTCCAAGGTCCTCCTGAGTGCTTCCGCTGGGCTAGTTTGTTGGCCAGAGTGTTCTGTCATGATGGGTTCTAGGCGTCTAACCCACATGCAGAAACACACTTAGAGTCAGGGAAAAAGTTCAAAGGTTTTATTTACAATATGTACAATGATAGAATGATGAACTGGTTCTGGTTCTTTGGACCGGTCACAGGGAATCACCACTGAGGAGGACAGAGCTTTTAGACAGGATGCAGGAAACTTGCAGTTTTGAGATGTCAGAATAGAGTGCCTGTTCTGAGAGGGTTCTGATCAGCAGGGGGGAATCTTGTGAGTCCGGAGGCTTGCTGGCAGACTGAGGGCTGAGGGCAGAGGCAGAGAATGAGACTGAGGCAGGGAGGCAGATTCCAGGGTGAGATTTCAATCTCCAAGGTTTCAGGTAAGTCAGGATCTGTGAGAGAGAGACAAACAGGGTCAGACAAGTTTCCGAACAAACAAGGTTCAGAACTGGTAGGTTGGCTCAGGTTAGATCTACCATTGCTGGCAAACACTCTGGCAGAGGAGTGTCAGTCTCCTTCTCCTTAAGTAGAAGTCCTCTTGATGAGGAGACAGGAAACAGGTGTGTGGAGGTGAGCTCATACCCTCAGCAGGAAGATCTTCGGCGCCTTCTGGTGGACAAGCCTCCGGATCCCAACATTTATATGCATGAAACAAGTGGAGCAATACGGCAATTGCCATACTGCTACACTTGTGAAAGTAAAATTTGTTGGGCGCTTTTTGGCATCAAGACAATTATTCTTATTGCCACATTGCCAGACAGGACACTGTAAAAAAAAAAAAATAAATTAATTAAAAAAAGAAGTCCCCCAGAAGAACAAGGGAGTCCCCAGGAGGTGCACTCTCCAGTAACCCCCCAAATAATGTTGTTTGTTGCACAAACAACAGTCAGAACCCGTCCCCCCACACGTATGCGGAGGGAGTCCACCCTCTCATTCACCGGGGTGAACCCCAAAGTACAGGCACCAAGATGAGGGGCAACAAGTATGCCCATTCCTGCTCGGCGCCTTTCACCATGGGAAACTGCAGAGTGGAAGAATGTCCAGCCCCTCTCAGGAAGACTGGTTCCAGAGCCAGAGCCATTCGTCTAGGTAAGTCTAACTATTTCTAGTCAGAACCTTTCAACCTCGTGCACTAACTCAGCCTCCTTCCCCAACAGAGGTGACATTCAATGTCCCAAGAGCCAGCTTCTTCAGCCGAGGATCAGAACGCCAAGGTCCCCGACCTCGACTGTCACCTATCACACAGTGCACCTGACCCCTTTGACCCCTCCTACAAGTGGTGAGCCCATTGGAAGGGGGACCCATGTTTCCTCTTCGGGCTATGCGCGGTCGGGCTCCATGGGTAAAAGCCACCAGGCGCTCGCCAGCGTGCCCCACCTCCAGACAGACACCTTTTACATTTATTGATGAAGTGATGAGGACCAAGTATATGTGTGCTGTAATTCCCTTGTCACTAAAACATAAATGTATAATGTTAGGAGTCATTAATAAATTGTTATTCCACTGCCAAACAATGTTGAAAGAGAGTAAAATTGAGGAAATATAACTTGTACTCTATTTGTACACTAATTATTTGGCTTTGTTAATTTTTTTATTTTTTCCATGTAAAAAATGGTAACAGATATTATTGCACTTTATGGGAATTATTAGCATAAAATATGTACACCACTGAAAAGCTATTATCAAAATTTAATTATATGCAGCAAGTGTTTTTGACACGTTTATTTGGAAAATTGACACCAGAATAGGGTTAAATTGACACCAGGGCACGCAAAGGAGCAAGTGCCCTTCTGTGGAAAAAAATATTTTGATTTACATTTCCATCAGGTTATATCCTCTCTGTCAAGCAGAGGCCAATATTAACCCTGCCGCAAGCTTAGAGAGAACAGGCAAGCTGACCAGTTAGCTATTGCCCACTCTCTCATAAGACAGTGGGAAGGTAAAAGAATTATATGCCTAAGCTATTAAGAAATCTACCCTGAGCACAACTCTAGAGAGGTATCTGTTATATTTCTTAAATTATGCTTGGAAAATATAGATTTTTACAAATACATTTATATTTGCACCAAAATAAGACCCAAAGTGTATTTTGAAAAAAATAAATAAATAGAAAGTATGACTTCAAATTTATGAATATATTTGAAGTTTATAAATAAACTTTATACGTTATACTTATACTAAAGCACATTCATACTTCAGAGAATGGCTACGGAACGTTTAATAGTATGAAGATAAGTAATGGTTTATGTTATAACCATTTTTGCTTGTGCTAGAATTTTGTATCAACCTGAATAATTCATCCTTTAAATAAAGAAATAATTCTTTATTTAATAAATAATTGTAAAGGTTATCAGTGAAAGGTATTGTGGAATATTAACCCTTATAGATTGCATATCTTAAAATGGATTAGTTGGTAAAGGCAGCTTCTGTGTTTTATTAAAAAAATCAAACATAATAAATAGGAAATTTGAGTTATGTTTTACAAAGTATATTTTTTATAATAATAATGAATACCGATTAACAAATTATTGAAAGTATATTTTCATGAAATATTTTATTTTTATTCTTTTTCTACATTTCATAAGTAAAATCCACTTGAGAAGATATTACAAATGTATTTAAAAAAAAATACAGCCTACTAAAAATATACTTCATTTACATCTTTTTTTCATGTGGGTACACCTCAGGCAACACCTGCACCCAGCTGTCTCAGAACAAAAGAACACAGTTATTGTCACTCATGCAAATTGTTGGTGTACTTGTACCCTGAACTAGCAGTGCCTTGGAGTATGCCTGCCATCTTGTTTTCTGAGAAGAGATATTACCATTATATGAGGAAGCGCTGGTGTGCTCTTTTCATACAACCTTCTGGTAGGACAACAATTGGATTTGTGCCAGCTATCACTCTATAAAGCCTTGCAGCACCGTTCTGTCGTTCAACATACGTACACACCAGAGAGGCACATAAAAAAGGTAAAACATTTTTTTTTACATTACAAACAGTTTTAACGTTATATATTCTAATTGAGTCAGCAGGTAACATAATATTTTATTTTAATCCATTTATGAATCAACATGATTAGAATTTCTAAAATCCATTTTTCTTCTAAACCTTTCTTTTGCAGGTTTGACTTTAGAATTTTGCAAAATGGAGGGCAGAATCATACTGCCTTTACTGCTTCTGTCAATTATAGGTAGGTACCCACTTAAGAAAAGCCTAAATTAATTTATCTGAGAGAATTCATCCGTTGACCCATTGATACTCCATTGACTCTCTTGTACTTTGAATAATAACTAAGGGACAAAAATTTTTATTTAAAAAAATAAACATGCATACAATAAAATGTAGTGTACCTAAATGATGAATCAGTATACCCATATATTATGCTGAAAAAAATCAATATCTTCCAAAGCAAAGAAACTACTGGGATTTATGTATTAAAATTTGTTAACTTACATGTGGTTGCGACAAGTTTAACTGCTCCCTGCCATTAAGCTGCACACTTAAGCTTGCTTGCTCTCAATCCTTATTACTTGCCAGCTGGTTGCCAGGCAGAGGGGTCAAGTAACGAAGTACAAATACTTTGCTCCATTACTTATTTTTCTTCCTACTTCTGACTTATACTCATTACATTTTCACAGAAATATCTGTGCTTTCTGTTTTTTACATTTTTAAAACAAAAGTTTCTCTTGGCTTCGTTATAATGTTTATAAATATTTATTTCACGTCATGTGCGCCATCCAATGCACATCATGGGTGCCATCCACATCTAGTGAAAACTAGTGTAATTGGATGAGTCGTATAACGCAAACACTCATTGGTTAGCTAAAGGAAATCATCAGAAGCAAAAAGGTGTTCTTCAAACTGTAAACGTGAATTGTCTATGCCATGCTACAATGTAGGATTCAGAAAAAGATGTAGAAATGTCTGAAAGGTCGAACACAGGCGAGAGCGTATCGGGAGATGGAGACCTCCCTCATCCTTGGCCCTATCTCAAGGACATTTTAGAAATAGTCAAAAAATTGAGCTTTCAATTCATATAGTGGATTCTGACTGTTTTTTTTTTAAGGTTACTTTATACTTTTATTCTTTAAGTAGTTTTTGGAGCACATACTATTTCACTTTTACTTGAGTAAAGAGGTCAAGTTGATACTTCAACTTTTACCAGAGTGTTTTTAAACTGCAGTATCTATACTTCTACTTAAGTAACAAATGTGTGTACTTTTGACACCACTGTTGCCAGGTCAACTAATGCCAATGTTAACCTTTGTTTAGCATTAGCAAACATTCAATTACTTGTTCAAAACAAAAGCTTTGCTTCTAAGCCTTATACCTCCCTTTATGTGTACCAGTGCTCAATAGCTTGACTGCAGCTCAACCCCGTCTTGCTTCTTTTTTGGCTTGAATATAAAAATGTTATTGCTACGAAGAAACTATTTCTCGGCTGACTTGGTAATAGCTGACTCAGGTTCCTCAGTAACAGCTGACGTAAACCTAATAGTTCTATTGCTACAGAATCCTGTAGATTTGACTTTGGCATTGTAACCAAAAGTAAATGATTAGATATTTTGGTCCTGTCCAGATGTTTACAATATTTAGTTAGTATTTATATACAGCATTTTTTTTTCTGCACCACTCTAGAATTTCTATGAATGTATGATTCTTAAAGATATTAATTGTTTTGATAAAATCAAAAAATAAAACAGTGGTTACTACTGCCTTTAATTTATGTTCCATATGTTTTTTTGTTTTTTTTTAGGTGAAATGACAGCTCAGACTTCAGGTAATATGAAAGTTAAATATAGTCTTAATTATACACAAGGCGCATAGACATTTTGACATGTTTTGTATGTCAGTTGTATTCTTCTTATGCAAAGTGCTTGCATACAATTTTTTCCTGAAAGATTACCAAGACATGTCGGTGCATTATTTGTCGTTTTGTGTTTTACTCTTTTTTCTGGTCAGTTAGTTTGTAATTAAAGCCCTTTGTGTTTAGTTACAATCAGAGGTAGATATTCCAGGTCTAAAAAGTAAAAACCCTGCCTAGTTGTCCATCATCTTATCAACTTATCCAGGTGATTAGCATCTGGTCTGTGTTGTGGAGCTGGAAATGCAAATGATTAGAATCAATTCTGTAAGGGCTTTTCATTTTCTGTACCTGAGGGCTCTACCACGAAGCAGGATTACTGGTTTAGCAAGATAGTTAAGGTTTAACTATGGCTTTCTGGTAACAAGAAGCTGGATTAATTCTTATTCAAGACTAGTCAACATGGTAATGTGCTCTGAACGGGAAACATGTCTAAATTTTAGGATCTATATGAATCCTAGAAAATACTTCACTCAAACAATGATGAGCCCTTTCATTGAAGATCCCATTTAATTCAGAGCACAACTAGAGCTCAAACAAAACATCGCAATAAAGGAGCTTGAAAACCATGAAGCAGTTAAATCAAACTATCTTCTTGACAAATTGAATTATTTTTAATTAATTAATTTTTTATTTTTCATCATTTTTGACATACCAACTTTTACTATTCTGCATTTGTTTAAAGCTTAGTTAAAACTTCATCTTTAACCTGAGCAGCTAAGGACAAATACAGTCTATCACACTGTCCATTAAGTGTCCAGTGTCCTGATGTAGCTTTACTGGCCACTTGCCTGAACACCATAAAAAAGAAGGGTTTTATGCCAGTGAGTTTATCGCAGCTCAGTTGATACCTGGATTTCTTTGAAATTTCACATGTATTGCATTATTGAAATCAGGCTATTAGATATATGACTTAGTTTTGATCATTGGCAAGGAAGTTGGGACAGAGAAATAGGATCAGAAAGAGGCCGAGAAGGGAAACCGGACATCTATTCACCAAAGGTTAAAAATAATCTTGCTCCATCAGCTAGTTTTGTGCTTGCTTAAAAAGGCTGGAACATAGGTGGGAGGAATGGGCATTGATGAAAGTGAGCTGGAGCATCGCAGGTGTTGTAAAAAAATGACTAAAGGGGGAGGCAGAGTGTAAAGTGAGCTTCACACATAGCACTTCCGCTTCACCACACACTGCAAAAAGTTGCAGTGTTGCAGTCAATACGGGATGCAAATTTACAACACCCACTTTTCTTTCCCTGTGTCTGACTTCTGGTCTGGCTCATCTTAATTTTAGAAATGTATGCATTTAGCTCTGTAGTCCATCAGATATACAAACAGTCTACTTGTGATGGATGACAGAAAAAAACGCCTCAGCTGTTTATCACACTGCAGTGCGATTGTGTCCGTAGGAATTATCACGCTGACATAAAAGCTTCTATTTATGACAAACAGAGGTTAAACGGATAAAGGAGTCTTTGTGAATAAGGGGTAATGAGAAGGAAACTGAAAGGCCAGAATCATAACAGACAATGCACCTTTAAACTGGCCTCTGGGGTAGATATTTGTTTCCTTAATTTTATGTTCGATTGTCTTTATCTTTTTAAAGGAGGAATGACAACTCAAAACCCAGGCAGGTTTAAATTTTTGATCTTTCAAAACTTAGTTGAAAAAAAGGCATTGTATTGAGTTTATGTATCTTGAAAGAAAATGTTATCTTTTTTCTTACAGGTGAAATGACAACTCAAAGCACAGGTAGTTAAACTGCTACTATTGTTATGATTTCATTATGAATTCATGAATTACAAATAAATATCTGTAAAACAATAAAGAAATTTTAATTTGGGTTAGAAGGTCTAAACTCTAACAAAGGATTTTAATGAGTGTGATGTATTGACATTAGTTATTTACTGTAATTTTATGTTCAATGATATCTTTGTCTTTTTATAGGAAACATAACTTCAATGCCGGGTAAATTGAAAGTTTGGATATGTTATTTGAATCTTAACAATAAATACGCACACTGTAACGTATTAAATGTATGTGTCCTATCTTTATGTACAACGTTATTTGTCTGATTTTGTAGGTGAAATGACAACTCCTAATACAGGTATGTTAAAACTATCTAATTCAGGTAATTCAACACTGTCTGTCAGGCTGTGTTTCTTCGTGTATTACTAAATGTTACTACAGGGACCTTTTTTTTTAAAAAAAACCAACTCACTTTACTTTTTAAAATAATGTATAATTGTTACAAACCAAAAAAGGTTTTACATCACCAATATTTCAGATGATATATCTAAAACACAACCATGATACTCTTTCAAGAAAAGAAATGACATACTCTTAAAAGCAAAACTTCCTTTTTAGCACAGTTACGGTAAAATGAAAGATTCTGTCGCTAAGTCACCTCCCCAAGGTTTATTTGTTTAAAGAGGGAAGTCACAAATAAGAGGAGTTAAGAATTAAATAAAGACATATATTTATCATAGAAATATCTAAGGAAAGTCTGCTAAGAACCTACCTCTGTCCCTTAGCCTACAGAATGAAAGCACTTCATGTACCTCAACTTTTTAAAGATGCACAGACCCTACGCCTCAATATGTTCTAACAATACATACGCATCTTGACCAAGCCAGATCCTCCGTCTAGACCAGGACCTTCTTTATCTATCACATGTATCTTGGCACCAGACAATGTTTATTATTTCCCTGCAGCTGGAACAGCAATAGCAGGAACTGTGTTTGCCTCAAACTTGTAACGTAGTATTGTAGTATCACAAGGTTCATATAGGTCAGCAATTGGTCTCAACAATGGTACATTGGATGCTTTCTACAATACTCTGCAAAACACAGCTATGATTACATATTTATAAATCATCCTTATGAGTTAATACATTTATTTTTCCACAGATTATAAGCAAAATCTAAACAGTTTTGGAAATGTGTGTATTATATTTCAGAAACAGAAACTTTTAAATATTTTTTTTTAAAGAGGCCTCACTGTTCAATACTAACTATGTAAATATTAAGCTTATAATAAACATACAGTCTGATATGTTTTTTATTTTTTAGGTGAAATGACAGCTCAGACTTCAGGTAATATGAAAGTTAAATAGTCTAAATTATACACAAGGCACATAGACATTTTGACATGTTTTGTATGTCAGTTGTATTCTTCTTATGCAAAATGCTTGCATACAATTTTTTCCTGAAAGATTACCAAGACATGTCGGTGCATTATTTGTCGTTTTGTGTTTTACTCTTTTTTCTGGTCAGTTAGTTTGTAAATAAAGCCCTTTGTGTATAGTTACAATCAGAGGTAGATATTCCAGGTCTAAAAAGTAAAAACCCTGCCTAGTGGTCCATCATATTATTAACTTATCCAGGTGATTAGCATCTGGTCTGTGTTGTGGAGCTAGAAATGCAAATGATTGGAATCAATTCTGTAAGAGCTTTTCATTTTCTGTACCTGAGTGCTCTACCACGAAGCAGGATTACTGGTTTAGCAAGATAGTTAAGGTTTAACTATGGCTTTCTGGTAACAAGAAGCTGGATTAATTCTTATGCAAGACTATTAAACATGGTGATGTACTCGGAATGGGAAACATGGCTAGCTTTTAGGATTTATTTGAATCCTAGAAAATACTTCACTCAAACATTGACGTGCCCTTTTATTGTGTCATGTTTTTCACGTGTTTGGCCCACATGCAGACAACACTCGGGAGACAGGAAGCAGATTCAGGGTTTTATTAAAGCTCAGAAATAAATACACGGAAACGAGAAAACTAAACAATGAGTCAGCGTCAGGCAGAGTCACGGGACCGGGGTTTGCACGAGCTGAAAAGGGAGAGATGAGTTAGACAGCGCGCCGCGGACGGGCCGCGCGTAAAGAGGTGCGTAAGGCTTACCACTGAGCTCAGAAAGCGCACTGGGGAGGTGGTGTGGAGGAGCGAACTCAGCGCTGCCTGGGTGAGGTGATCCGGTGACTGGGTGACCGATGAGCGGGCCGGGGAAACTCGTGCAGGATCCAAGCTGCGCCGTTGGGAGCAGTGATCAGCGATCAGCTGGAGACACCAGGCGAGCACTGGGGAAACGCCCGGAGCAGGTTTAGAGTCGAGGGAGCGTTCTAGGAGACACAGGAGAAAGGTGATCAAAAACAGGAAAGGTTCAGGCTGTCAAAGACAGTGGCCAACTGAGGCGTACCACACAAGGTTAACACTCTGGCATCCTCCAGCTGTCAGAGAGCTCCTTTTATAGCGCAGACAGGTAACCACAGAACGAGCCTCAGGTGTGTACCACGCCCACCAGTCAACTCCAGTCACCTGTGCAGAAAGCAGGGGCAGAAAAAGCACAACACTACCTGCTGAGTCCTGACACCACCCCCCCCTCAACGGTCGCCACCTGGCGACAGCGAGGAAGATGTGGAGGGACGAGAGGCCAGGAAGGAATCAAGAAGAGCAGGATCAGGGATGGAGGAGCCGGATACCCATGACCGCTCCTCGGGACCGCAGCCCTCCCAGTCGACGAGGTACTGCCAGCCTCTTCCCCGCCGACGGGAATCCACAATCCTCTGGATCTGGCGCCCTTGGAAGTCCTGGGCGGGAGGAGGGGGCTCGGCTGAGGGGCACAATGTGCTGGAAAGCACGGGTTTGATGCGGGAGACATGGAAAGTAGGGTGGACCCTCGAGTGAGGAGGGAGGCGGAGACGGACAGCTGAGGGACTGACGATGGCCTGGATCTCATAGGGACCGGTGTAGCGGGGGGCCAGTTTGCGGTGGGTGGACCCGGAGGGGTTGTCCCGGGTGGAGAGCCAGACTCTCTGACCGGGGCAGTAATGAGGGGCAGGGGTTCGCCTCCGGTCAGCAAATTTGCGGTTCTGGTCAGCAGTTCTGTGGAGGGCCTGGATGGTCTGCAACCAGATCTGCTTGCAGCGGTGGATGTGATGGTGGACAGAGGGAACGGCGATCTTTCTAACGTCTGCGGGAAAGAGCGGAGGTTGATAGCCCAGGGAGACTTCAAAGGGGGAGAACCCGGTGGCAGTGGAAGTGTGGCAGTTATGGGCATACTCGACCCAGGGGAGGTACTTGCTCCAGTCCGCTGGGTTGGTGGAAGTCAGGCAGCGGAGAGCAGACTCCAGCTCCTGGTTAAGCCGTTCTGTCTGCCCATTGGTCTGCGGGTGGTACCCGGAGGAAAGGGAATACCTGGCCCCAAGGGCTGTGGCAAACTCTTTCCACACTCGAGAAATGAATTGGGGACCACGGTCAGACAGAATGTCCTGTGGGATGCCATGGAGGCGAAAGACATGCCTCACCAGGAGCTGGGCAGTCTGGAGGGCCGATGGGAGCTTACGGAGGGCTATAAGATGGCAGGCTTTGGAGAATCTGTCTATGATCGTGAGTATGGTTGACATGCCCTGAGACACTGGGAGGCCAGTGACGAAATCTAAAGCAATGTGGGACCAAGGGCGTTCAGGTACAGGCAGTGGCTGAAGAAGGCCCGCTGGGGGTTTATTTGAGGTCTTATTCTGAGCACAGACTGGGCAGGAGAGGACATACTCCCGGACATCTTTAGGCATAGAAGGCCACCAGAAGTGCCGGGAGATGAAAGAGAGGGTCCGGTTAATGCCTGGATGGGCAGAGAATTTAACTGAATGGGCCCACTGAATTACACGGGGGCGAACAGAGAGGGGAACATAGGTTCGGTCAGGAGGACCGTTACCGGGGTCAGGGTCTGAGTGCTGAGCTTGTCTGATCAGATCCTCAATCTCCCAGTGGAGGGCACCAAAGGAGCAGGTGGGTGGCAGGATGGGAGCTGGCTCTCTAACAGAGTCCTGGGGTGCATATAGACGGGAGAGGGCGTCAGGTTTCAGGTTCTTGGAGCCTGGACGGTAGGAAATGGACAGGTTAAACCGAGAGAAGAAAAGGGACCAGTGGGCTTGCCTGGGGTTGAGACGCTTGGCGGTTTGGAGGTAAGCAAGATTTTTATGATCGGTCCAAATGATGATGGGTTGTTCGGACCCCTCGAGCCAGTGACGCCACTCCTCCAGGGCCAGTTTAATGGCCAGGAGCTCTCTGTCTCCTACATCATAGTTTTGCTCTGAGGGGGTCAGACGTCGGGAGAAGAAGGCGCAAGGATGGAGCTTCTGATCACGGTCCGAGCACTGGGAAAGGACCGCGCCCACACCTGTGTCAGAGGCATCTATCTCAACTGTGAATTGTTTTTCAGGGTCAGGGTGAATGAGGATGGGAGCTTGGGAAAACCTTTCCTTCAATGCGGCGAATGCAGAGCCGGCTTCAGGGTTCCAGACGAAAGGGGTTTTTGGCGACGTGAGAGCATGGAGGGGAGCAGCGATCTGACTATAGCCTCTGACGAAGCGTCGGTAAAAGTTGGCGAAGCCAAGGAAGCGTTGGAGTTGCTTCCGTGACTCTGGTACCGGCCAATCGAGGACCGCCTTGATCTTTTCTGGGTCAGATCGGACCCTACCTCCCTCCAGAATGAGCCCAAGGAAAGTAACTGAGGACTTGTGGAACTCACACTTTTCAGCCTTAACAAACAAGCGGTTCTCCAGGAGCCGCTGGAGAACCAGCCGCACATGTTGTTGGTGCTCAGAGAGGTTTTGAGAATAAATAAGGATGTCATCCAAGTAGACAAACACGAATAGGTTCAGAAAGTCTCGAAGGACGTCATTTACAAGGGCCTGGAAGACTGACGGGGCGTTGCACAGGCCGAAGGGCATAACCAGGTATTCAAAATGGCCAAGCGGGGTCTTGAATGCCGTTTTCCACTCATCCCCCCGACGAATCCGAACTAAGTGGTAAGCATTGCGCAGGTCTAATTTGGTGAAGATAGTGGCGGATTGGACCGGTTCAAGAGCAGAGGAAAGAAGTGGTAGGGGATACTTATTCTTAACAGTAATCGAGTTTAACCCGCGATAATCAATGCATGGGCGGAGGGAGCCGTCCTTCTTCCCCACAAAGAAAAAGCCAGCTCCGAGTGGAGAGGAGGGAGGACGGATCAGGCCGGATGCCAGGGACTCCTTTATATATTTTTCTAGTGCCTGTCGTTCGGCCCGAGAGATGTTATAAAGGCGGCTAGTTGGCAGAGGCGCGCCCGGCAGGAGATCGATTGCGCAATCATACGGTCGATGCGGGGGTAATGACTCAGCCTGGGCTTTACTAAAAACCAGCTGTAGGTCATGGTATTGTTCAGGGACCAAACTTAAATTAACGGGGTCCACATCAGAGGAAGTCCGTACAGAAGTAGGACAAATGGGAACGGCGGATTGCATACAGCGAGACAGGCAGGTTGGGGACCAGGACTCGATGCGTTGGTCAGCCCAGTTAATGTGTGGGTTGTGTTGTTGTAACCAGGCATAACCCAAGACGAGCGGGGCGTGTTTAACAGGAAAAACGAGAAAGGAGGTTAACTCCCTATGGTTAGGGTTAGGGTTAGAACACAGATTTTAGAGCGTGTGGTTCCCAGCCCGCGGCGGCTGCCAGCGTGCGGAACTCGATCGCAAAATCAGAGACGCGCCTGCCGCGCTGCCTGAGAGTCAAAAGGCACCGGGACTGCTGTACCGGATCGGTCTCGGCCGAAAAGATCATTTTAAATTCCTGCAGGAACTCATCAAAAGTGCAGCGGAAACGTCGGCAGTCGGGAAAGCGGGACTCAGCCCATCTTAATGCTCGCCCTGTTAATAGGCGCAGGATGAAAGAGATCTTTGCCTCATCATTGGGGTACGTTCGCGGGGAACGATTGAAAACTAAGGAGCACTGAAATAAAAATCCTCCACAGTCCCCGCTGTCCACAGAAAACTTCTCAGGGCTAGGGGAGGAGGTCTCAGGGACTGACGGCAGCGGCTCAATTTGCGTGGGCTCTGGGGCTGCGCTCGCTGCGCTCGGGGGAGCGGAGGCTGAGGTCTGGAACGCAGCGCAGAACGTGTCAGACAGCTGACTGATCTGGGCTGTAAGCCCATGCAGCTGATTCTGCGCAGTTTGCATGGCTAGTTGGAGAGCCTGAAGCTGCTCCTGATGGGCAGAGAGCGTTCTCCCGAGTGTGTCTGCTGGGTCAGATTGGCCAGAGTGTTCTTCTGTCATGTTTTTCACGTGTTTGGCCCACATGCAGACAACACTCGGGAGACAGGAAGCAGATTCAGGGTTTTATTAAAGCTCAGAAATAAATACAGGGAAACGAGAAAACTAAACAATGAGTCAGCGTCAGGCAGAGTCACGGGACCGGGGTTTGCACGAGCTGAAAAGGGAGAGATGAGTTAGACAGCGCGCCGCGGACGGGCCGCGCGTAAAGAGGTGCATAAGGCTTACCACTGAGCTCAGAAAGCGCACTGGGGAGGTGGTGTGGAGGAGCGGACTCAGCGCTGCCTGGGTGAGGTGATCCGGTGACTGGGTGACCGATGAGCGGGCCGGGGAAACTCGTGCAGGATCCAAGCTGCGCCGTTGGGAGCAGTGATCAGCGATCAGCTGGAGACACCAGGCGAGCACTGGGGAAACGCCCGGAGCAGGTTTAGAGTCGAGGGAGCGTTCTAGGAGACACAGGAGAAAGGTGATCAAAAACAGGAAAGGTTCAGGCTGTCAAAGACAGTGGCCAACTGAGGCGTACCACACAAGGTTAACACTCTGGCATCCTCCAGCTGTCAGAGAGCTCCTTTTATAGCGCAGACAGGTAACCACAGAACGAGCCTCAGGTGTGTACCACGCCCACCAGTCAACTCCAGTCACCTGTGCAGAAAGCAGGGGCAGAAAAAGCACAACACTACCTGCTGAGTCCTGACATATTGAAGACCCAATTTAATTCTGACCACAAATAGAGCTAAGAAAAAAAAAAACATTGCAATAAAGGAGCTTGAAAACCATGAAGCAGTTAAAACCAACTATCTTCTTGACAAATTTAATTATTTTCATTTAATAAATTTTTATTTTTCATAATTTTTGACATACCAACTTTTACTATTCTGCATTTGTTTGAAGCCAAGTTAAAAACTGCATCTTCAACCTAAGCAGCTAAAGACAAATACAGTCTGACACACTGTCCATTAAGTGTCCAGTGTCCTGATGTAGCTTTACTGAGCACTTGCCTGAACACCATATAAAAGAAGGGTTTTATGCCGGTGAGTTTATCGCAGCTCAGTTGATACCTGGATTTCTGTGAAATTTCACATGTATTGCATTATTGAAATCAGGCTATTAGATATATGACTTAGTTTTGATCATTGGCAAGGAAGTTGGGACAGAGAAATAGGATCAGAAAGAGGCCGAGAAGGGAAACCGGACATCTATTCACCAAAGGTTAAAAATAATCTTGCCCCATCAGCTAGTTTTGTGCTTGCTTAAAAAGGCTGGAACATAGGTGGGAGGAATGGGCATTGATGAAAGTGAGCTGGAGCATCGCAGGTGTTGTAAAAAAAATGACTAAAGGGGGAGGCAGAGTGTAAAGTGAGCTTCACACATAGCACCTCCGCTTCACCACACACTGCAAAAAGTTGCAGTGTTGCAGTCAATACGGGATGCAAATTTACAACACCCACTTTTCTTTCCCTGTGTCTGACTTCTGGTCTGGCTCATCTTAATTTTAGAAATGTATGCATTTAGCTCTGTAGTCCATCAGATATACAAACAGTCTACTTGTGATGGATGACAGAAAAAAACGCCTCAGCTGTGCCTCACACTGCAGTGTGATTGTGTCCGTAGGAATTATCACGCTGACATAAAAGCTTCTATTTATGACAAACAGAGGTTAAACGGATAAAGGAGTCTTTGTGAATAAGGGGTAATGAGAAGGAAACTGAAAGGCCAGAATCATAACAGACAATGCACCTTTAAACTGGTCTCTGGGGTAGATATTTGTTTCCTTAATTTTATGTTCGATTGTCTTTATCTTTTTAAAGGAGGAATGACAACTCAAAACCCAGGCAGGTTTAAATTTTTGATCTTTCAAAACTTAGTTGAAAAAAAGGCATTGTATTGAGTTTATGTATCTTGAAAGAAAATGTTATCTTTGTTCTTACAGGTGAAATGACAACTCAAAGCACAGGTAGTTAAACTGCTACTATTGTTATGATTTCATTATAAATTCATGAATTACAAATAAATATCTGTAAAACAATAAAGAAATTTTAATTTGGGATAGAAGGTCTAAACTCTAACAAAGGATTTTAATGAGTGTGATGTATTGACATTAGTTATTTACTGTAATTTTATGTTCAATGATATCTTTGTCTTTTTATAGGAAACATAACTTCAATGCCGGGTAAATTGAAAGTTTGGATATATTATTTGAATCTTAACAATAAATACGCACACTGTAACGTATTAAATGTATGTGTCCTATCTTTATGTACAACGTTATTTGTCTGATTTTGTAGGTGAAATGACAACTCCTAATACAGGTATGTTAAAACTATCTAATTCAGGTAATTCAACACTGTCTGTCAGGCTGTGTTTCTTCCTGTATTACTAAATGTTACTACAGGGACCTTTTTAAAAAAAAACAACTCACTTCACTTTTTAAAATAATGTATAATTGTTACAAACCAAAAAAGGTTTTACATCACCAATATTTCAGATGATATATCTAAAACACAACCATGATACTCTTTCAAGAAAAGACATGTCTTACTCTTAAAAGCAAAACATCCTTTTTTCTGTCGCTAAGTCACCTCCCCAAGGTTTATTGGTTTAAAGAGGGAACTTACAAATAAGAGGAGTTAAGAATTAAATACATATATTTATCATAGAAATATCTAAGGAAAGTCTGCAAAGAACCTACCTCTGTCCCTTAGCCTACAGAATGAAAGCACTTCATGTACCTCAACTTTTTAAAGATGCACAGACCCTACGCCTCAATATGTTCTAACAATACATACGCATCTTGACCAAGCCAGATCCTCCCTCTGGACCAGAACCTTCTTTATTTATCACATGTATCTTGGCACCAGACAAAGTTTGTTATTTTCCCTGCAGCTGGAACAGCAATAGCAGGAACTGTGTTTGCCTCAAACTTGTAACGTAGTATTGTAGTATCACAAGGTTCATATAGGTCAGCAATTGGTCTCAACAATGGTACATTGGATGCTTTCTACTATACTCTGCAAAACACAGCTATGATTACATATTTATAAATCATCCTTTTGAGTTCATTTATTTATCCACAGATTATAAGCAAAATCTAAACAGTTTTGGAAATGTGTCTATTACATTTCAGAAACAGAATCTACTTGTCATGATGGGCTCTCAAGGGGGACCCAATTATGCAGAACACCACTGAGGCGGAAACAGGAGTAAAGGTTTTAACAGAGTTTTTTTAGACAAGCACTGAGATTATGACAGGTTCGGGTTCAGGCCTGGGAAACTGGTTCACTGGAGTCTGCGTGAGAGACAGTTCAGTTAGCTTAGCACGTTGGAGCTTGATCTCTTGATGATAACTGATTGTACCTTGAGGGTTCTTGAGGTTAGCTTTGGGAAAGTCACTGTTGGATCTGGAGAGGAGTTGCTCAGCAGAGTCCGCTTGCTGCTTCAGCGTCTCACGTCTAGAAATGAACAGACCTTGGCTTTGGGTTTTCCAGCTCTTAGTCCTGAGCTGCATGGAAGTTCACTATGGTTCTTCAGGTTTGGCTCTGAGGGTCGGCTCGGCAGGTTAGCTCTTCCAGAGCTTCACAGAGGAGACACTGGTTTCCTGGAAGAAAGAGACAACGGTTAGAAATCCAGGCTGGATTCAACGTCACAAAGTTACACTGAGAGTCTAGGCTTAGGCTCTGACCAACTGGGACAACACTGCGACATTGAGGCAAGGTCTGAAGACAGCTTATATAGTGGATCCTCTGATGATGGTAATGAGCAGCAGCTGTGCAGGAGGCTCTGCTCAGGAGGATCCACGGCGGACTCTGCTGGAGAAAGATGGTACTACTCCAGCTCCCAACAGTACCCCCCCCTCAAGGGCGGATTCCAGACGCTTCAGACAAGACCTAGGGAAACGAGGGAACAAAAAACAACCCACCAAGGGTGGGCGCAGGGGGCACCATACTAGGTAGGCAAGAAGCTGAGTCCATAACAAAAAACCAACCCACCCAGGGTGGACGGAGGGGAAAAGAAAAAGGAAAAAACAAAACTGAGTCCCAGAACAAAAAACAATCCACAAAAGGTGGACGTCAACAAAGAAAGTCTCTGATATTTTACCGGGAGACACCCGGTAGCAGCTCAGAAATAGGTGCAGGGCGGGGCCGCCCACTGCGGCACCGGAGCTGATTCAGAGAGGACCGCCGACTGCAGCTCTGGCTGCAACATGGAGAGAGCCGCCCACGACGACTCCGGTGCAGCCTCCGAGGTGTCCTGAGGCGCCCACCGAGGGCCCCTGGATGCTCGGATCGGCCGTAGAGGTACTCCAGAAGGTTCGGCGGAGCGGGGACTGGTTGACTGACTGGAGGCATGGCAGGAGGGAGACCACGATTCAACGTGTCTATGAGTCCAATTAATATGAGGGTTGTGTCGCTCCAACCACTCATATCCCAGAACCAAGGGAGAACAGGCTGATGGGAAAACAAGAAAGGTTAAGGTCTCTCGATGACTACCTGAAACTTGAAGCTGAAGAGGCAGAGTCTTGTGGGTAACCTGGTGTAGACTCCTTCCATCAATCGCTGAGACTTTAAGTGGCTTCCTCAGAGGGGTGGTCTCAATATTTAGCTGTTGAACTAGATTAGAGTCAATTAGGTTTCTCTCACAACCAGAGTCTATGAAGGCTGACAGAGTGTGAGTCTGATCAGAACAGAACAGGGTAGCAGGTAAAAGAAGACAAGAGGATTTTCTATTTAGTTGATGCTTCACCAGACTCCCCATAATCGCAGACGAGCTCCAAATCTTATTCTTGGCTGGACAGGATGAAACAAAGTGCCCTGGTATCCCGCAGTAAAAGCAAAGTTTCTCATTAAACCTTCTCTTCCTCTCGTCGGGTGTGAGCCTGGTGTGACCTATCTGCATTGGCTCCCCCTCAGTAGGTTCACAAGCTGGTGGAGCAAAGTGAGTTTTAGACACAGGTATAGATTCAGGCTGGGCACGGCTCTCTGTGCTGAATGCCTCTTCGGGAGAAACAAAGGAAGGGGTGTCCCTTCTCTTAGCCGTAGAAATAGAAACAGGAAAAAAATGGCTCTTAATCTTTTACTTAGATCTGGTTCGAAGACGGTTATCCAAACTAATTGTCAGCCTGATGAGTTCCTCCAGGGTCTCAGGTGTCTCGAGTGTGGTGAGTTCATCTTTTACGTTCTCGTTTAAAGCGTTGAAAAATGCACTCTTAAGTGCACACTCATTCCAGCCTGAGGCTGCAGCTTTAACCCGGAAGTCTATGGAAAAATCCGCTACAGAGGAATTTCCCTGTTTAAGATTTAACAGAGCACGAGAGTCAATTGTTTGGTCAGAATCTTGGTTGAAAACTTGAGTAAATTCGGAGATGAAGTCAGAGTAATAGCCATTAAGGCTATCGTCGGTGGCAAATCTTGCCTGAGCCCACTCCAAGGCTCTTCCTGTTAGCTGAGAAAGGATGAAGGTTATCTTCTTGTAATCTGTGGAAAAGCTGCCTGGAGAGTTCTGGAAAATAAGTCGGCATTGAAACAAAAATCCCTTACATTTGCTTGGGATACCTGAAAATTTCTCTGGGAGAGAAGGATGAAATTCCGGAAGTGACGTGACAGGCTCTGGTTCCGGAAACGGAAGTTGGACGGGCTCTGCTCTAGGAGCTGATTGTCTGGAAAACTCCTGCGAAAACTTATTAAGTTGAGTGTTGAGCTCACCAATGAATCTGTCCACAAGCCGGTCGTGAACATCACGAATGACGCACTCAAATCTCCTAGCCATTTCATTGTGGCTCTCACGGAGGGAGGCATCAAGGCTCTGAACCTGGGTCGGTAGATCCTTCAGAAGCCTCCAGAGGGGTTCCGCTGGGAATATTTGTTGGTCGCAGTGTTCTGTCATGATGGGCTCTCAAGGGGGACCCAATTATGCAGAACACCACTGAGGCGGAAACAGGAGTAAAGGTTTTAACAGAGTTTATTTAGACAAGCACTGAGATTATGACAGGTTCGGGTTCAGGCCTGGGAAACTGGTTCACTGGAGTCTGCGTGAGAGACAGTTCAGTTAGCTCAGCACGTTGGAGCTTGATCTCTTGATGATAACTGATTGTACCTTGAGGGTTCTTGAGGTTAGCTTTGGGAGAGTCACTGTTGGATCTGGAGAGGAGTTGCTCAGCAGAGTCCGCTTGCTGCTTCAGCGTCTCACGTCTAGAAATGAACAGACCTTGGCTTTGGGTTTTCCAGCTCTTAGTCCTGAGCTGCATGGAAGTTCACTATGGTTCTTCAGGTTTGGCTCTGAGGGTCGGCTCGGCAGGTTAGCTCTTCCAGAGCTTCACAGAGGAGACACTGGTTTCCTGGAAGAAAGAGACAACGGTTAGAATCCAGGCTGGATTCAAAGTCACAAAGTTACACTGAGAATCTAGGCTTAGGCGCTGACCAACTGGATCAACACTGCGACATTGAGGCAAGGTCTGAAGACAGCTTATATAGTGGATCCTCTGATGATGGTAATGAGCAGCAGCTGTGCAGGAGGCTCTGCTCAGGAGGATCCACGGCGGACTCTGCTGGAGAAAGATGGTACTACTCCAGCTCCCAACACTACTAAATATTTCAAAATAAAGGCCTCACTGTTCAATAGTAACTATGTAAATATCGAGCTTATAATAAACATACAGTCTGAATAATAAACTGGAAATGGGTCATTATTAGTTTTTGGTCTGACACTATGCTTACAAGACAACCATGTCACACTTAAAAAATTAGGGCTAAATAATCCTAAGAAAAGCTTTTTTTTCTGGTAAAGCAGATGATTACGACTTGGGGCTTAACATTAGTGCTTGAAGCAGAGTTTTTAAAAATGGACTATGATGGCATTTCAGAAAATAGATTCTATTAAAATATTTTCAGGGATTGAAAATTTCGATTTTTAGTAGTTAATGTCTAACTGCTATGCTAATGATAAAATACAGTGTAACTTAGGCACTATGAAATATATTCACCATTGTTTATGTGTTAAATCATTATCCTGAAATACTACTGCATCTGGTTTAAAATAATTAAGAAAAAATCGAACATAACATACAAATTAAAGGTTTTTGCATACCTTACAAATTAAAAGCCTTTGGGCGTGATTTCGCAGGAAATTTCAGAAACTACCTCAACATTACAGCTGGAAATAAACCATTGTGGAACTAGTATTATTATAGCCTTTTGAAATAAAAAAAATATGCCTAGTTTCAAAATACAAGTCACTCTTCTGTTTTTTTGTTTTGTTTTTTTTGTTTGTTTTTTTTAATCAAAGAATCTTGTGTGCCAATTTGGTTTGTAACTACTATGCATTAGCAGGACACATTTTTGTACAGAAATTCCAAGCCTAGGTGCCTGTTTCAATGTAATATGATAAACACTGGATCCTGTTTTTGGAACAGAGGAAGACCATCCAGGTGATGTCTGTTTAGGACCCCTTTACCCAATTGGAGGAACAACAAGCTCTCGAGAAGATGATGGAAGCTCGACAGGAATTTCACTCCTTCCAGCTTTTAACTATTTTGGCAAATCCTACTCTCAGATTTATGTATGTTCACTTTATTTCTCAGATTTTAAGTCATTTTACTTTTCAATTGTATAGACGATGTTCAAACATTTACACAAAACAAGAAAATAAATGGCAATACCTAATTTGAATGTTATTGTATTTAAAGGTAAACCATAATGGACATCTGTCATTTGAAGAACCATGGGGTAGTTTCTTCCCCCAACGTTTTCCAATGTATGGATGTAGAGACATCATTGCTCCTTACTGGACTGACTTAGACAATAGTAGAAGTGGTAACATCTGCTATGTTCAGTATACCAACGGCTCTATTCTCCAACAAGTTACCCAGGACATCAACTCTTACTTCCCACAAATTAACTTTTATGCCACCTGGATCTTTATTGCAACATGGCATAAAGTTCCCTATTTTTCAATGCCTAAAACGGTGAGGAAATCTATTTGATTTTCTGTTCTGAATGGAAACAAATTTTCAATGTTTAATCTGCATAATTGTTCTAACAGTTATCCTTTTTTTTTTCTTAGCAAACAACCTTTCAGACAGTATTGGCTTCCGATGGGAATTACTCATTTGTGATACTGAATTATGGTTCCCTAGCATCCAAACCAGGCTCTGTAGAGGTTAGAGCATTTCAATTAATTGCATACAACATATGTTTGCCTTGCCTTCGACCTAGCCAGTGTCTATTTCTAAAGTATGATGTTTTTACATAATCTGTTATTTTTAGGCTGGGTATGACACAGTCTATTCCTGTCACCACTTCACCATCCTTGGATCATTGTCTAATAGCACAAACTCAAAAATCACACTTTTAAGTCATGAAAGTAACGTCAATGTATCCGGTCGCTGGGCTTTCCGTGTCGATAATGGTTCAAGGGACTGCAATGGTAAGAAGAATAAAACACTAAATATACATCTTTATTAAGAATACAAGCAGCATTAAGAAAATGAAAATGAAAACTCTATTCTGTACCACAGGGTGGAACAGAAGGCCAATTAAAATGGCTTCACTAAATACTGAATAGATGTTTAGGCTTTTTTTTTTTTTTTATGAGCCTGTTGTTGGCCTAGAGTAGCAAAGCATTTAGTGTTGGGTCTGACCCTATATTTAAAACACAACGACAAAAGACTTGAGAATACTCTGCATAAAAAATATATATAAATATATTTTTACATAATCATTACCAAATGATTAAAATCATTATAAGCAGAATTCAACTGACACAGGACTAAACATTTGTTAGGGTAAAATGAAAGATTCTGTCCCTAAATTAACTCCCCAAGGTTTATCGGTTGACAGAGGGAAGTCAGAAATAAGAGGAGTTAAGAATTAAATACAGACACATATTTAACATAGAAATATCTAAGGAAAGTCTGCAAAGAACCTACCACTGTCCCTTAGCCTACAAAATGAAAGTACTTCAGGTACCTCAGCTTTTTAAAGATGCACTTCTAACGTAGTATTGTAGTATCACAAGGTTCATATAGGTCAGCAATTGGTTTCAAAATGGTACATTGGATGTTTTCTACAATACTCTGCAAAACACAGCTATATTATATATCTATAAATCAACCTTATGAGTTAATGCATTTATTTTTCCACATATTGTAAGCGAAATCAAAACAGTTTTGGAAATATGTCTATTACATTTCAGAAACGGAATCTGCAAAATATTTCAAAATAAAGGCCTCACTGTTCAATAGTAACTATGTAAATATTAAGCTTATAATAAACATACAGTCTGAATTATGAACTGGAAATGGATCCTTATTAGTTTTGGGTCTGACACTATGCTTACAAGACAACCATGTCACACTTTAAAAATTAGGCCTCAATAATCATAAGAAAAGCTTTTTTTTTTTCTGTTAAAGCAGATGATTATAACTTGGGGCTTAACATTAGTGCTTGAACCCGAGTTTTTAAAAATGGACTATGATGGCATTTCAGAAAATAGATTCTATTCAAATATTTTCAGGGATTGAAAGGCTCAGTTTTTAGTAGTTAATGTCTAGCTGCTATGCTGATGATAAAATACAGAGTAACACGGGTGTCTTGTTTTTCACGCGTTTGGCCCACATGCAGATAACACTCGGGAGACAGGAAGCAGATTCAGGGTTTTATTAAAGCTCAGAAATAAATACAGAGGAACGAGAAAACTAAACAGTGAGTCAACGTCAGGCAGAGTCACGGGACCGGGGTTTGCACGAGCTGAGAAGGGAGAGATGAGTTAGACGGCGCACCGCGGATGAGCTGCACGTAAAGAGGTGCGTAAGGCTTACCACTGAGCTCAGAAAGCGCACTGGGGAGGTGGTGTGGAGGAGCGGACTCAGCGCTGCCTGGGTGAGGTGATCCGGTGACTGGGTGACCGATGAGCGGGCCGGGGAAACTCGTGCAGGATCCAAGCTCCGCCGTTGGGAGCAGTGATCAGCGATCAGCTGGAGACACCAGGCGAGCACTGGGGAAACGCCCTGAGCAGATTTAGAGTAGATGGAGCGTTCTAGGAGACACAGGAGAAAGGTGATCAATACAGGAAAGGTTCAGGCTGTCAAAGACAGTGGCCAACTGAGGCATACCACACAAGGTTCACACTCTGGCATCCTCCAGCTGTCAGAGAGCTTCTCTTATATATAACTCCAGTCACCGGTGCAGAAAGCAGAGGCAGAAAAAAGCACAACCTGCTGGGTCCTGACAACGGGCACTATAAAATATATTCACAATCATTTATGTGTTTAGTACCCTTGTTTTAAATGTAATTTCATTGGCTGTAGAGCTAAATTGATTGATTGTGGACTTGGCCAATAGCAGTCGGACTTCATGAACCATAATATGAGGGGAAACATGCGTAAAGTAGGTGGCTGAGAGGGAGCGGTTGTGATGCTTCGTGGGCTGTCCAACCATCAAATCTCAAAACGAAACTAATGAGGACACTTTTGCTTTGTAGGCTGGAAGGTGAGGAAACCAAACATACTGTTGTGGGAAAAAGATTATTCAACTATTAATCCCAGTTAAATAAACGGAGATCGATGGATTCTCAGTCTGCACTTTATTTTTATATCTTTGCAAAGAGAGAACAGTTCATTATACAGCTCTTACTGCTTGGTATTCATCCCTGTTCTGCCTGGGTAGAGTGTGATCTCTTCAGAGTCAAAACAAATAACAGAAACTTTGGTTAGACAGTAACATCTTATGAATAATCCTTGAGAAAGAATCTGGCTTGTTTTGGGAAGAAGCTATGTTTGGTCTAAAAACACCCTCATGCTGGGGAATTGTGTGGACTTGAAGGTGAAACAGACTTAGTGAAAACTTTTATAGTGAATAAATAGGATAAATCTAAATTTTTTGACCAAAATACCAAAGATCAACTTGAAATGTTTGTGCAAGCTAGGGTAATTTCAAGATGGTTAGTATTATTACGAATATGCTGGATTAATTTTGGTCTGTGGACCCTAATGGACAAATGGAATATAAACAATCTAAGATTGGATTTTTAATACGGCCTTATGATCGTTCCAAAGGTAGGAAATCAGAGCTTATTTTAAAAATTCTAATTTAAAATGCTGCTATATCTTTATTAATTGTGCTTTGGCGCTCATGGTTTCAATAAAATGAACTTGGCAGTTGAACTGTGGATAATCTACTGTAAGCTTTCAAAAAAATATATAACAGGTATATATTGGGAAAAGCGTACCACTGTGTTCAATGTTAATATGCAAAGTGGATGTTAAGACGTTTTCAACATTATAACAGAATTCAGACCATGTTTGAAATGAAAATTGACTACCATGGCCTTCTAAAAAACACAAGTCAATGTAAATTCTAAAACAAAAGCCTCACTCTCCATATTAAGTATTTAACTATTAAAGGTATAGTGGAGGATGTTATTTTTCGTTGTGGATCATCAAAATAAGTGGTCTCCCTAATTGTCAATCATTCTGGGGTAATAAGTTTGCGTATGGCTCGTCCACATTTTTCACAAAAATTGCAAATCTTCTTTTGGAAAGTAAGCTTATATGAGCAATGCAAACAGCAACTTTTAAACAGAGCATGCACAACTAGAAATGGGCTTGTTCATACTCTCTCATACGTTTAATAAGCGTTTCCTCTCAGGAGCAGGTACAGGGTTGTGCATGTGCATTATTTTTTTAAATGGACCTTTAAGTTTAATTAGTTGTGCAGTTTGGCTTCAGAACTAGAAATAGGTTCAATAGCGCTAATGTGTCAGACCAAATATTTAAACAAAGTACTAGATTTTCAAAATGAGACATAATAGTCTGCCAAATGAAAACACATATTAGACACAGCAGATCAATGCAGTACAAGATTAAAAATGTGTAAATAGAACTTTAAGAAGCATATTTAAAAGTTTTTAGTTAAAAATATCTTTAAAATAGCCTTTTGATTTGATACTGTTGTGAAATTTAACATTTTTTCATACCACAGTATTGTTGTTAATTATGCCATCTAATCAAATAATATTCAGACTACAGTAGTCGAGTTGTAAAAAAAAGAAGGGGGAATGGTGGATTTTTTTTGTTCTCGAAGTATACATAGCCTTATTCATTTAAAGCTGAAGTCTTTAAGTTTTTAAAAATCACTTTTTTGTCACATTGGCTAAAACTGTCCCTATGCCCAGACAGCAGTACATGTGATATGTAACGTGTGAAAAAAACTTCTTCAATTGGTCCCGCCTACTGCCTGTATTGCAATCTGGAAAGAATATATCGGGACGAGACAAAACAACCAATCACAGCCAGAGGAGCATCTAATGGAGTGTCAATCACAGCTCACACACGCTGAATCCCGCCCCCTCTCTCTCACCGCTGAACCTGCCGCTGCCGCCCGGCTGCCGCAGTCAGGAGGACGCGCGTGGAAGTCATGGCGGAGCGACAGCCACCAGCGAAAGAGAAACTGCCCTTACTGCCCCTGCCGACAACTGCTTACACGGCAAAGACTTCAAAAAAGAAAATGTCAATGGAAGTACGCTGCTTGGACGCTTCTGGTCGCATGTGGTAGCTGCGCAGATGCTGTGAGAGGGGTGGAGCTTGGAGGTGGGGCATGAGTGAAGCAGAGAGGGTGGGGGAGTGGCGTGAAACCTGTTTTTCTTCAAATTTTCAGTCGAAGTCTGCTCTCTACTCAATGTAACAGACTGCAGCTTTAAGCTATTGACCCAAAGCACTATCGCATGGTATGGTTGTTACTTCTCAGGTATGCCAGTCATTGACCTTGCCCAAGGCAACTTTCAGTAGAACTGCAGTCAGTCCCTGGACTGACATGGCAATCACTGACCTTACATAGTTAGGGACAAATGAAGAGGACAAATTTCCCAGTGGGATGTGCTTCACAGTCATGGTAGGACACTTCTTTGATTTTGCTTAGGAAAGTCTTTTGGCAATGGATCTATTAAGATTTGGAACAAAACCTTTACAAAACACAAATGAATAGCTCAGTCCTTTCAAGTTGAGTATATTTTTATTCAAATTCAATTAATTAAATTGAAACTGCTGAAAACATTTTCAAAATCTGAAAAAAAACTGCCAACAAATTCATTCAATACATTCAAATTGGCCTAAAAATTAAATAAGCCTAAATCTAATAATTTTACTCATCTTTCAAATATTCATTTAGAGTATTTTTTTTTAAAATAGACTGTTTATCAGAAAATCACTATCGCTTCTATTGGCTAATTTAAAGTGAGCTAGGCTACATGCTGGCAATGAATGAGTAAAAACTATTCAAACAGGTAATTCAAACTAAGCTATTAATAATTGATCGGACGACAGGCATTCTGCAAGTCACCTGAGGGACTTTGCAATGTCAACATTAAATTCATTTATGACCATTGCCCAGAAATTAAAATTACATTTGGCAGTTCTTTCCAGATTATAA